AAGCTAGAGCACATTGTAAAATCAAGAATCTATCCTATTGCCTGGCACAGATGAATCATAACTAGAACTAAGTTTATTGTAACACCTCGCAAAGCTGTGATGAGGGGAAGCAATATGAATAAACTGAAATCAGCCAAAAGGTAAAATATGTTCAAAAAAAGAAAGAAAACAAAATCAAAACGACCAAAAGAAAAGAAAAGAACGTTTCCTTCCGCGAAAGTCGAACCCGGACCATTAACATGTTGCACAACGAAACCAAGTGTTACACGCAAATCTTAAATTAATTATGTTTAGCGTTTTTGCCCATGAAATTCTGCCGATAGACACTATTTGAAGCTGGTAGAGCTGTATTTGTCAAGAATTCAAAAATGCATTTGTATATTCGAGGAAAATAAGCAGGGTTTTGACGGTAAAAAGCCGTACTTCAACTCATTACGTTGCATTTTAAGAACATATGGCCGACAAAGCGATATTTTAAAAGTGTCTCACAAGACCGTTGCAAAGTCTCTTGCTGTCGGTATTGTACAGCTACAATTCGGTTACCATTCAGCAACAGTAAACATTTTTGTTTTTTTCACAGAGAATAAATAACCATAACCGCCTTTCATCTCTACGGTTTTTTGTTGTCATGTTTTTCTTCATTGTTCACGCTGAATTACAAGCCGCCATTTAAGTGTTGCCTGGGGACCTAAAAATGCACCTAGACATGAAGTTAGACTGAATGACGTCAATTGGAGCTTAGTCGCGACATTGTTGCTAGAAAACTCCGGATACCAGACTGATAGAAAGATTTATGACCAGAGCACTCCACTTGCAATCCTTGCACAATCCACGCACTGTGGGCGCGACAAAATTATAAACTCGCTTTGCGAGAAATTAAATTAAAAAAAGGAAGAGCGCTGGTGGAAGGAGTGACAAGGTGAGTGTTTTGGGTGAGAAGGATGATTTCCGGTGGCTTTCAAGAGGATGAGTCTAGGCACCTTAAGCCAACTGCATTTTCATGTAATATATCAAACATGAGATGCAGTGTTTCATCTGTGTTTCATCTGGTGATGAAACACTGTGTCGAATGTTTGATATTTCTTCTCAAACAAAATCATTTTTGAAGGAGAAATTAGGGATGCAAATACTAAGCAGTGTTTCATCCGATTTCCAAACACTCATTAAACATTAATTTCCTTTGTATTTTCTTAACGAATTATTAATGAGTTTGAGAAGCATCTTTCACCCAGACTGCTTTATACCTCTAGTTATTAATCTCAATCAAAAATTATAATTACTATTCATGACAAAAGAAGCCCAGTTTCCCCAGATTTTTCTTGCTGTAGATTTTTTGGTGGTTAGCTAAGTTAGCAGAGTGCGGGTCTACTGAATGGGAGGCTATGAGTTTAAACCTCAGCTGGACCACCAACCAAGATCTTAAAAAAACCTGGTGAGATCATGCAAGCTGTGGTCAAAACCTATTCTCAGCTCATATGATTGCATTATTGGGTAGTAAAGTTAACGCTTGGCCTTGTCTCCTTCACCCTAACAAACCAGTTGGAAGGGGACATAAAACAACTAGTGACATTGTTCAGAAAGAGTGGGGTACATCAGTGGGGAACCTAGTTATCCAGACTCTGAGATAAAGGGGGGGGGACGGTCTCAAAAAAAATTATTTCAGCCTTTTGGGCCTCAGTTTGGTCTAAAAATAAAGCGGGGCCTGGCCCCCCGTGCCCCTCCCCTTGATCCGCCACTATACAAAGGCCCTGGTGTCATGGCCTAATCCGACCAGAGGAGAAGTGAGATCAAAGATGGGCCAAAGAGGATGCATAGCGTGTCTTAACATGCTGACATCCAATCTCACCTGTCTGGTACCTCGGCAATACAACAAAACTATTCATTCTTTTTTTATTCGGGTGGTGTTGGGGTAGGGATGTCCGTGAAAGAAATGCTAGCATCTCTAGATTCTAGATCTTCAAAGTTTGACTTTCCTCATTATCTCTTGAGTTTATATTATACAATTATTAATGACTTTCACCTTCCCTTTATATACCCATGGAAAAAAAAATTGAGAAATAATATGACCCACCTTATGTTTCTTCTCTTGATCTTGTAAAAGCTTGGAGGATTCATCCAAGGAAAGAGGTTTTGCTTTCTGAGAAGAAAAGTCAATGTTAAACATTGTGCTCTTGATATTCCTGTCTCATCAATAGCAAAACATTTTAGAGCAACATTCTGAGTTTAAACAGGGAGCACAAAACTCCCACCTACAATCTCCAATTAATTCATATTAAACAGTTCTTTCTGTGCGTTACGTTAGCTGAGTGGTTTGTTATTTTACAGAGTAGAAAGTTTTTTCTGACGTGAGAGAAGTTAGAAGATTACTCAAAACTCAGTATTCAAGTAAGTTTATGTGTTCGTTCGTCTTTCGTTCTACTTCATATTGTGAAGTCAAGCAAGGATTACTGTATAGAATCGAAACCCTGTGTCAGTATTCACAGAGTCCTTTAGACATTGTTAAGCCTTTTGTTTCAGCTGTTGCAACAACAATAAACCAGGAACAATACTCTAGCTCATACATACTAATCAGTTCTGATGCAAACCCAATTTTGAAGCACGTTAGGTAAACGGACTCGCGTTAACAAACTTCTCTCCAACTAGTTTGAAGCGCATTAATGTGGATGCTTGTCTATGAGCTGTACTGTCATTGGTGACTAACTCCTCAATAACACAATAAAATGATTTTATTACGTAGAACTCGCAAAGAATTTAGTTGTATCATGAAACTATTCTTCTTTACTGTTATGCGTACTATATCCCCTCAAATAAGCACCCATGCTTTGATAAGTTCCCTCTAGCTGATAAGCAACTGACCCACGGCCAAAATAACAAACAAGCACCTCTCTTGAATAAGTGCCCCTTTCCCTTTCCTATATTGAATATCAACAGGAGGATAACTTAATAAGTACCCCCCTACTTGATTAAGTGCCCTCCTTCCAATAAGCACTCCTCCTAAGTATTTATTAAGCATCCAGGTGCCATATAACAGGAAATATGGTATTTCAGGTCAGTATAAAAGATTCTGGCAAACAGCTCACCCACCCCTCCCCTAAATCAACGTTCCCCCAACTGAGAAGTAAGTGAAACAGATATTAACCTAGGTTAAAATCAATTGTATGAATATTCCACTCACATTTATCTTTATAAAAACAGGGTTTTCCATGAGGTTTTAAGTAGGTCAAGGTGGCAAAGGCTTTGGAGAAGGCGGAGAAGGAAAAAACTCGCGCCACAGGTGTGACTTGCGAGCACCAAAAGTGCAATTTCCTAGGGGGTCCAGGGGCATGCACATGCCCACTAGAAAAATTTTGAAATCTGGGCCTGTTAGATTGCATTCCCAGTATTCTGGAGCGAAAATTAGAGTATTTGCACAGAATTAACCTTTGGCTTTTGGGGGGATAATTTCCAAAGAAAAGTAGGTGGCGAGTTCACATGAAATAGCCACCGAATTTCAGCCGCCACTGGCTCTTATTGAGAACCCTATAAAAAACAAATTCACATAGATTTTCTACCTGTAACTTGTACTGTGGGGGTGTTGCTGATGATTCATAATCCCATTTTCCAGTGGAGTTCATATTTGAATGTTTCCTTTCTGATTTGCTAATGTGAGTTGTTGTTTTGGGATTGCTACCAGTTTCTTTGTTTACGCTTGTTCTTTTACTTATTAAAGAATCAATGTTGCCTTTAGAAGGGCTGACAACACCATCATATCTTGTATCTGAGATATCATCATCACTGTCATCACTGTCCAATAATTCAAGTTGTGTTTTCTGAACAAGTCGTGATACTGTCATCCTCTCAAACTGTGCCATAGTGTCTTCTAGTTGTTCCCTTCTAGCAATTAACTCTTTCAGTTTTGCCACTGTCTCTATAACCTTTTTTCCTCGGTCTGGAAGGCTTTGTAAGAATTTTCTTGAAAATGGAAAAATAAGAATTACAGTTAGGAGCAACTACAGAATACAGGGCCATATCAGAATGTTTTCAGCAGAAGTGGCTCAGTCACTCACTAGTCAAGTGTTCAAGTGTTTATAGAACGAGAAAGATATAAGACATACAAATGTAAGACAGACATAAGAAAGACATATATAAGTATAAATAATTTCAAAAAAAGAGTTTAAGGTATATACAGGTAAAACCCATTAAATTTGGACACTGAGGGGGGCCATAGAAAATATCTGTATTAACAGGGTGTCCGTACATTATGTATTAAGGTCTCGGTAAAGGAAAACGAGGTGCCCACAGAAAAAAATTCTAGTCGTGCGAGTATTTTCGCTACAAAGGCAAGTTATATTTCAAATTACCGGTAAAGCTAAAAGAATAAATTACCTTGTAAAAGATTTTATTTCATCGAATTTCAAAAGGCGCTTAAGTTTTTTGCTCTCAAACTCAGAGGTATCGAGTTTACTGCTGAAGCTCCAGCCCTTTCGCGTTGTTAAATATTCACTTGGTGTGAGGAAATTTGCATATGCGGGATTATTGTATTTCAAACTAAAAAGTCGAATCTCGAGCGTGATTTACGCAAAGAAACTGTCATAAAATGAGTTACAAAGGGAAATCGGAAATTTCCTCACACCCTTTTTTAGGTCTTTTATCTGTCAATCAGATGCAATAAAAAGGAAGTGAATATTTAACAACGCCAAAGGGCTGGAGCTTCAGCAGTAAACTTGATACCTCTGAGTTCAAGAACAAAAAACTTAAGCGCCTTTTGAAATTCGATGAAATAAAATCTTTTATAAGGTAATTTAGTCTTTTAGCTTTAATTTGATATATAACTTGCCTTTGTAGCGAAAACACTCGCGCGACTAGAATTTTTTTTCTGTGGGCACCTCGTTTTCCTTTACCGAGACCTTAAGTGGACTGAATTTAGAGAGAATGTAAAGGCTCCTTTCCCTAGGGACAAGGCAAACTATCTGTAATAAAGAAGTGTCTGTATTGAGCGGGTGTCCATAAAGCAGGACTTGACTGTATTTAAGTAGCTCAGTGGCTCGATAGCTCATCAGTCGAGGTTAGAGCCTTAAAGAATGAGATAAGGCGGTTTGGTGGCTCCCCAGTCGAGGTTACCCTTCTTCTTCTTAGCATCTTAAAGAACGAGAAAGGTATATGATTTAGTGGCTCAGCCGCAGCTAGGTGGCTCATCAGTCGAGGTTGGCATCTTAACCCTTTGAATGCCAAGGATGTATACATTCAGCGACCAGCAGCCATATTGGATTTTTTCAAGAAATGTATTTTTTGCAATTTAAGAAATTTAATACTTTCAATGGCTCGTCAGTGAGGTCCAGTGACTGCCAATCCGCTGAGCCACCCCAACGAATATATACCTAGAAAGTCGGCCCTGTATTCTGTAGTTATGTTTGACAGTTTCGTGCATCTTCAAAGCGCAATAAAGATATTTTTGTGAACATGTAACATGAAGATGGATGGGGGTACAAATTACACGTCTGTATCCGAACGCGTCGACCTTTGTTTTCAAGAACTCCCAGCTGCACGTAGATTGTAGACAATAATTGGAAAAGCTTACTTGTTGGCCAATAACTTTTCCTGCCTTCGTAGCATTTCCTGTAGCTCCTTTTTCGATAACTTGGCCCAGTCGGTTTTCTCTTCCATAGTTGATTAAGCTTATGTCAAGTTGATTGAATTGCTATTGATTTTCACCCACCGAAACGTCTTCAGCCACACAGCTCGTAACTTGCTACTTCGCTTCACGACATATTCAGTACCTTAGCACCATGTAAGAGTTCCAAGGCAATGCACAAAAGTGCTGAGAATTGCAAATGTAACCACTAAATTCGTCCACCATATTGCTTTGTAACCACTTGTTTGCGCAGACTCCTCACCACTCCTCCTCAACTTCTTAGACGACTTACAGAGAGAAAAGATCGGTATTTTTCGTTTAGAACTGAATTCAGGCAAATGGAGTTGTTGAAAAACTGGATAAGTCAAGCTATAGCCTTTTCTATTATATTGAACTTAATATCAGAATCAATATCAACGGAGAGAGAGTACAAACAGAGAGATGGTGAGTGGATTATTTCACATAAGCGTACTCTTAGCTTATCTTCGAGAGTTTATCAAAGTTTTTTTTCGTTAGATCTCAAGAATACTTCAGCTTTTCCATACAAAGCAACGGTCTACCAAGAGTATGAATCGAAATGACTTTTTATGAATGTTGTCAGCATTTGAGCTGTAATCGCAATCGTTGATTTTCTAATGACGTGAGCTGGGACGTATGCCTAGTCTGCCTATCTTTCAGTAAAACTTTGGTTTTTTATCATTGCAGGAATCGCTCTTCAAAACATCAAACATTACGAACCAGTAAACTATAATGTTACCAATGTACATAAACAGCATCTAGATGCGGTGAATTTCAAGAATAACTCTGTCACTGTTAAATTTAGCGCCTTTCAAAGGTAGGTGACACTTAACCTGAAGGAGGAGAGCACACCACAGGTTTACCAACCTCGCTATTAAAGCCCTGTGCAACACTACCCTACTTAGCTAGTTAATTATTCGTAAAGAAACGATTATAACACGTTGTATGAAAATTTATTCTGTGCTCTATAAGTGAACGTAATATTTATTGAATTACCCTGTTGACCGCTGTGTTTGGAACTTGGGCTACCTTTAGCACACTATACTTATTTCAATTTTTCCATACAAGCTTGCCCAGTCTGATTTTGACAAAGGCCGATTATCGTGTAAGAAAACTCGGAGGAGCTAGTGTATATGTTTTGGTTCAATTTTATCATTGATTTAGATGTAAGTTCCCTTTGTTTTGGGGTATGGTAAAGTATGATATTGAGTTTAAAACATAGGAAAATAAAATTTAAACCAAGGATAAATTTGAACCACAGCCAGGAACCCATAACCCTGGGCTCCTGCCACAACATATACATTGAAAATTACTTAACAATATAGATCATACGTATAGAAATAGGGTCACAACAAAAATCAATGGTATTTTTTTTTCCTTACAGTCATGTGATCCTGATCTGAAAACTGAAGTTAGAGAATCACTTTTAATGAACACTTTGTGTTCAAAATAATTCATACTTTAAAACATTCTTACCTTGATCAATTTGATTTGATTGTCGTTGGCGAGAGGCTGAGTTTAAAAGTTTCTTGTCATTTCAATAAACACAAGGTTTAAACAAGAACCGTGTTTTCTCATCACATTTGCTGTCATATGTAAGATGTGATTTCAAAATGTATCGTTCAGTTCTGCCTTTGTGTGCCACATGCAGAACAAACTGGAATGCAATCACTGCTGAAGTTTATTGCCCTTGATATAAATGGCGATTTCAGCGAGCTATCTTCACGGTTGACAAATTTGACACCGACTGAAAAAAATCATTGTTGCTACTTTTTGCGGCTTTCATTTCAAGGTATTTCTGCCTTCTACTTGAGAACCATAAGAGCTTGTTCTCTGAGGACACAGAATTTCGAATCTCAGTGAACGATGTTGATGAGTATAACAAGTATGATACAAGGACGGCATACAAGGGAACTGTGGAAGGTAAATAGAAAGTTTAAACAACTTCGACTTTGAGCAACGCACGTGAACCGGAAGTGATACCAAGTTATGCACTGAAGCATACATACAAACTCCGCGGTATGACCAGTAACTTACGCATGCGCCTAACCATATCACCCCGACAGTGGCAGCCATGGACAGCTGTTTTGCCCTTATTGGGGCTCATCAGCATCGCATAGCTGTCGGGTCAATGAGTGGGGAAACCCGCGTGTCAAAGACCCTTGACTGCTGAGCACTCCTTTTAAGCGCCAGCTTCACGGGAAGTGGACTTTTTGCAATCTTAGGCCGTGAATTTAAAAAATTATCGCGCAGATCTCGCGCAGATCATCTCTGTCAGGATAAAGACACTTAGAAGAAAAATTGGGTAGCGCCAAGGCATACTTAAAAGGAGAAAAGTCTCACTTCCGGATGACGCACGTCGCTCAAAAAGACTCACTTCTGACCTGAGATCAGACTCTATTTTCGTTTCGCTTTGTAAATAACATTCTGGTGGGCATGACGAAACGAAAAGAGAGCCCCAATTTTAGCGGTAGCCTTTAGAGAGAATGTATGAGAACCGCTCAAATTGGGCCTGATCTCAGATTAACTCACTTCCGGTTGACGTACGTCGCTCAAAAATGTCGCTGCTTAAACTCCCTAATAACTAATGTAGCTCACTTAGCACTAGTTTGGCACGCGAGCAAGCTCCCAGAAGTCAATAGCGAGTGGCACGCAAAAGGAGACACAGGAGTGAGGGCGGGGAAAGGAACGACTTAGCAGCTCTTTTTCTTTGCCACTCGCGGCTTTACTGCTCATGCGCGCGGGGCTTGGTTAATGTTTTTTTTTCTTCTCACTTGGTACTATTGACATGTTTTCATCCATTTGAAACTTGCTATACGTTTTGCCACGTAAGTTCGCTACCTTTCACTGCTGCTTTACTTGGAAACCTTTTTCTCTCACATGCCACACCTTGCAGGTGGGAAATAACGTTGGCTTTGTATAGATTACCCTGAGAAAATAGCCGACATTTTGCGACGCCACCATTCGTTTCCTCACAAAGTGACGTCTGAGAAACGACTGCAGAAATGCCATACTGACGTCAGACGTGTCACTACCAAGAAACAGGTAGTGCCTCTGATTGGTAAAGCAAATTTTTAGTTAATCAGAAGCCCTACCCAGATCTGGGTAGCGTCACGTCATCAATGGGGAATTTCTGCAGTCGTAGTGGAGTCGTTAAAATATCGGCTGCTTTCTTAGGCTATGTGTAAAGCATTGATTTCAAAATTGCCTTTGACATTCCATTTATGCTCAACCAAATTTTTTTGTTCTGTTTGGGTTTTTGTTACGTAGGGGATCCAGAATCTTTTGTAATGGGGCATATAATAAACGGACAGTTCGATGGAAGTTTTGTTGTATTTGGAGAAACTTTTCATCTTGAACCTGTTCAACGATATGGCATTGGTTTAAACGCGTCTTTCCATTCCATTGTCTTCTTCTCTTCAAGCGTTAAGTTTGACTTCTCAAGAATTCGAAGGAAAATGGCTCGCTTTCCCCAATTATATCATAACGTCGCAGTTAAGGTAAATAACAGCAAAAACGTTTTCGTATTAGTAACGGCAAAAACAATCCTTAAACAAAGGAAGCTGCAGTAGCTGCAAGTTATTGAATTTTATAATACTGTCAAGTTCTATTAACTCATATGTAGATTGTCGTCATTTTACTACGAGTTTTAGCGAGACTGTCGTGTCAGCGGACACAAGTTATTAAGTCTTATAGGTTTTATTAGTTTGCTGCTGGGAAATAGCTTAACCTCCTTCACTCAAGGTAACTGTGTTAATTTTTTTCGTGAAAAAGATGTCGTTGATGAAGCTGGCTGAGTTGTCTATTATTTGAGAATATATGCGAAAAAAACTCAAAGTTAAAAGTTAAATCTAGTACTCGTAGTCGTTCTCGTCCTAGAATCTAAAGGCCTCTAATATATGTGAAAAAAGTTGACACATTTGCACGAGCCAATAGCACAGACATATGCTCTGATTGCCTAAAGCAGCACTCACACATGCCCTTTTTCACTCACCTTGACCGAGTTGACCCCGTTGGGAAAGGCAAAGTGTTTATATGGAGAAATGTTAGCCCGGCTAGGATGATGACTCTTCGTACCATCGGAAAAGGGTGACCCGGCTAGCCAGGTCACTCTCTTTGATACTCATTCAAACGGTTTGCCAAGGTTTGCAAGGAAATGTAGCAAACGTTCGCTCGCCAAGGGTAGCTGTCGGGTGGGCGAACGACACTTCCACCTGGGACAAGTTCTCCATATAAACGGCACCTACACCGTAATTTTTAGGGAGTTATTATAACTCCAAAAATGGAGTAAAAATTTTAGGTAAGAGGTAACCCCTTTTTGGGGGTTATTTTAACTCCTACTTTAACTCCGAATTTGGGGTCATTTTTACTCCTGAAAAAGAGTTCTTTTTACTCCCAGTCTGGAGTTAAAATAACTCCGAAAGGGGGTTACTTTTACTCCTTACATGGGTTGTTTTTACTTTTTTTGGAGTTAATTTCACTCTGAAAGTGGAGTAAAACTTTTAGATACAGGATAACTCCTTTTTTAGTGTTATTTTAACTCCTCAATATCTGGGGTCAATTTTACTCCTGAAAAAGAGTTCTTTAAACTCCTTTTTGCAGTTAAAATAACTCCCCAAAAAATAACTCCACTGTAAGGAGTTAAATTAGCCCCACTAGAGGAGTTATTATAACTCCTTGAAAATTACTGTGTAAACACCCACGACGACGACAACGACTATGTAAAAAAAAGGGTTTTATGAGCAAACAACAGCTCGTCACGCTTTTTTGTACATTTCTGTAACGTCCACTGCACGACTACGAAGTGAAATTTCCTAATGAGACGTTCTATGGGAGACGTGACTCACGACCACGAATTCTTCTTTCTTGTTTAAACTTAGCCACGTTCTTTAAGAATTCAACTCAAGAAAAAAACGCCCACATTTGACAAATTTAGCAGGTCACTGCCGTCGTCGTCCTTGTCGTTGCTTAAGCTCCCTAACTGTTCCAGTGTTCAGGAAAAATCGTAGCTACGCCCCTGCATAGCTTTATGCAAACTCTGATTTTTGATTATTTCTCTCTTTCTTCATCTCGCGACATAATTCCCACAGGCAGCCAGCAGACAAATCCGTAGGAGAAGATCCACTTCTTCCAGCCTCAACACATGTGCTGTGCATATTGCCGCAGATCATTTGTTCTTTAAACACGTGGGTTTATCTTCTGAGCGAGCTACGGTAGCAGAGATGGTGTATCACATGGGGATGGCTGATAGAGCCTTTAGAGCAACTGACTTTAACCAGGATGGGGGATCTGGAGATGGTATTGGTTTTGTCATAGCAGCTGTAACTGTTTTTCACAACGAGACCTCCGAAGGTAGGTTGATTAAGATCAAGGCTGATAAGGATGTCAAAGGGGGGATTTAGCTGGACCGGGATAGTGGCATGGGGTGAGGGGGGGGGGGGGGGGGGGGGGGGGGGGGGGGGGGGGCATGTTTATACCATCGATTCGATGGCTATATTTGATTGGAAACGAGGCTGATCGATGGTATATTTGACTGGAAACGTAACGAGGCTGCTTGGGCAAAGTGAACTAAAACAAATTGCGTTCAGCAGCTATTCGAAGGCGAAATACCTGAATTTTTGACTTAAACTGAACGGGAAAATGCAAGAATGCGCAAAACATATTGCTCGATGGATTTTATCGACTCTTAGGAGTATCTGCAAGACAACCAACTGTTTGTATCCTGTAACCGTGCCAAGAAATAGCCCAAAGTTTTGCAAAAAGTCTGCTTGGAGGTAAGCATGTTAAGAACTGCGAAATATATTGAGGATGTTATTCACCTCTGCTTCAGCCTTGGTGAATAACATCCTCCTCGATCTGCAGAATTCTTCACATCCCTTTTTTATTCAGCCTCACCCCTCATTCAATAATTGTTAATGATCAGTGACTGCTGATGTAAATAATGAGCCTAGATGAGTTGATACATCTCAGATAAAAATTAATCAATAGTAAAGAAATATAGCTATTGCAAGTTTAACCAATAGCATACGAGTTCTTAACAACTCATCTAGGCTCAGTCTTTCCAGAGACTCAAACCAAAATTGAATTGTAGTGATAAAATTCGGTATAATTACATAACAGTACCTCCTGACGTCTTGTTTTCTTACAACTCAGGCTCTTTAGCAAGCCCAGAAAGCATCAAAATTATGCCTTTTCTCGAGAAATGGAGCGAGATCGATCACGACTCATACTGTCTGGCACTACTGTTCACATACAGAGACTTTGAAGACGGGGCCTTAGGACTTGCCTGGGTAGCAGAGCCTGAACTAGACATACCTGGCGGAATATGTTCAAAGAGGCTTCCTGTAGATGATCTTGGAGAGGAGACATTTAATTTCAACACAGCAATTGCGAGCTTTAAAAATTTTGGCGTCAGGATCCCAAGGAAAGCGTCCGTGATCACTGTGGTTCATGAGCTTGGACATAGCTTTGGATCAGAGGTATATGGCATGCGCAACAACGTACGATGATGATCATGAATGATAAGCAAAGACGGCGGATTGATTTTCTTGACCCTCCCCCCGGGACATTCCCTTATTTGGCCGGGTATGTGCCGCTACGCGTAAATGCCGGATATGGTTTTCAGGGTATCATTGAGTCTTAAACAGGGTGTACAATTTTTAACTTAGCTTTCCAAGGCTTTTAAAAGAGTGTAAAGTTTAGCAATGAGTGGTCTTCATTTGGGTGGTACGCAGCAAGTTATTCTTTTTTTCCCAAAAAATCGCAGATTAACAAAATGCGAAATGAAATGAATCGGGGTCTTTCAATAAGGTCTTTTGTTTAGGGTAGCGAAATGATCGATGAAAGATGAATGATGTTTGTCAATGTTGGCCAGGGTTTGAATGCCTTAGCCGGCACACCTCGAAGGGCAAATAATACATTTGAAGAGCTAATTTTTTAGTCAACACTCTTAGTAAAAGGTAGTATATGTTTTGTTTTTTTATAATAATCATTATTATTATCGTTATTATTACTATAATTATTATTATTGTGATTTTTTTCTGTTCTTCCCAGCATGATCCGGACTCCGCGCAATGTTCACCGGGCGGAAAAGCTGGTAATTTCATCATGTACTCCCGTGCCAGCGACGGGCATGAACCGAATAATCTTCTGTTCTCTCCATGCAGTAAGCGGCAGATAGCTCTTGTCATTTCTAGAAAAGGTGCTGATTGTTTCATTGGTGAGTTATACATTAGCCTCCCACGAAGGCGTTTTTATACCCTGTTAGCAAAAGCCTCTTTTCCCTGGTATTTGGCGGGCGAATGCCAGGGACATAAGGCCTCTGCTAGAAAGGAAGCGTTTTGAGGGGGGTTGTATTTCCTCCCTCCCCTGATTACGACTTCCCTAAAAATGCCTGCGTGGGAGGTTAGCTATACATTAGCCCAACATTGATTTGTCCGCTATTGCCTGATAAGTTTCCAAAAAGCAAAACACAACGCCAAGCAATGCATGCGTCTCGAGTATAGCTAAAATTTTCCTCACATAGTTTTAAGACTATTAACAGACATTTTGATTCATTTTTAACGACAACTGTTTCAGTTCTTTTCGTAGTTAGTGGAAAGCAGTAAAAATACGGGTACAGAGAGTGCAAGCCCTCTCCACAAGACCAGTCTTTTTGGTCCTCAAACTCGTCCTCAGGGCGCCCCCACTTTATTAGGGAAAAGGCCCTTTGGCACGGCAATGTTTGGCCTTTTCTGAGTCGGGAGCGGAGCGAGAAAAATTAAAGCGAGGGAGAAAGAGGAAGAGACATTTCCATTGCCTTTTCCTCACACGTTCTTTACTGCTTCGTTCTTCCACTTTCTTAACGCGTAGAACAGGTTACGAATGTGTTTATAGTGAAAGTTGAAGTTTCACAAAAAAACTCTATCGTATTACCAGCTCATAACAATGGTTCGTACTGCGGCAACAAGATCGTGGAGCAAGGTGAAGATTGTGATTGTGGAAGACCAACGGAGTGTCAAGCAGTGGACAAGTGCTGTGTGGCCAGAGATGACAAGCGTGGGACACCAGGATGTACAGTGAGGCCAGGAATGCAGTGCAGGTTATATACACCCTAAGGCGGTGGCTTAACGCGCAAAATAGGCGGGCACAACCTGCTATCAAGCGTTTTTTTTTCGGGAGGGAAAATGTCGGCGGACGGCGAGCCATACAAAGAAAAAGGGAAGTTACATGATCGTAGGTTAAGGCGGGGAATCAAACGTTTCCTTGCCAGCCTAACTGCAAAAGTTGACCCAAATAAGCTGCTCGCCGTAGTCGCTTGCTACGGAAACGCTGGGAAACGTCTTCCCGCACAAACTAGCACATAGGACATTAGCCATTAAACCTCGAGTCTCCAGTGCGCATGGCACATCGAAATTATATCCAACTGAGCTAGAGGACTTACTCGATAGGACACTTTTTTGTTGGAATTGAGGAATATGGTAGCCTTTGTTGGTAAAGGAGTTTTGCACGTTTCGTTGCCAACTTCCGATTTTTGCTCGCACAGACGCGTGATGTAGATTAAAAATGATGGTTTGCAAGCCCTTTCTATTTGTAGACTAAAGACAGCTATCACCTTTCACAGTTAAGATTCTTTATCATTACTTTTTCCTCTTCAGTCATGTGGCAGGGACATGCTGCTCTGAAGACTGTAGAGTCATCCCAGAATCCCAAGCGCGCGTGTGTCAAACAGAAACAGAGTGCAGAGTGGAGACGACGTGTAAATATCCTTTCATTGGTTCTTGGTCATAAGGGAGGAAAACTCCCATTCAGTGCGGCAAAGGGCGACAGTGGTATAGGAAACACACCTGGTCACAGTCCATCGTTCAAACATGCTTACATTCAGCTTTGTTTTGAGCCTTGGGCTTAAGCCTAGGAAAACGTACTTGTTTTAGATTGTCTAGAGTGCCAACTTTAGGGGTACACAGAAGAGTATTTTCAAACGAGAAGGTAACGTTTTTAAAAAATAACGGTTAAAGTTGGTGGAAATCGAGTATCAGGATAATGAAATATAAATATAACGATAAGAAACACAAGTCTAGGCAAGAGTCCAAACAAGTACAGATTGGTGTTGCAATAAAAACGGATGTGCAAGCAGGAAATATATTCAAGTTCTTACCCATTGGTGATTACACTTAGTCAATCATTTTTATCACTAGTCTACAGCTGCCCGCGACCAGTGGTTTTACCGCTGAGCGCTACAAAACATGCGCGTGTAGGGTTCGACGGAGAAACCACCGTGTACGGGTGGTTACATAACTGTATGTCACAACCTAGTCATGATTTGGCTTGCGTTTCCCACGGAATCAGCACTCTTAAGTATGCGTTCGATTGATCGTACCTCGGAATAAGTATACGCAAAATTGTTGTTGCAAATCTCTGGTACCATGATTTTTGGACCATTTGAACGCTAGATACAGCGGAATATTTTATTTCAAGCAGATTCCAAGGAATGCAAAGAATACCAAAACAAATAACTTTCTAGAGTCTATTTCATTTATTATTATTACGGAAAACCGTCAGTCGAACACGCCCTTAGCCTACGTGTAGCTGCACCATCCCCCGACAAAGGAAAAACGGAGAGGGGGAGGGTGCGGCTACACGTAGGCCAACACGCCCTAACTTTAATGAACTTTTCCGTTAACTCTTCAAAATGGCCGCAGTGGGCGTTGCCCCGAAGAGTGGAAACCGAGTAACGTAACATGTAATAGCGGATCCAACACTTGCTTGGATGGTGCCTGTACTGGATCAATATGTGCCCTGTATGGGACCAATGAATGCGAATGTCATGACGATCCAGATGAGATGTGCCACGTTTGTTGTAACAACAGCCTTGTGAGTCTATATTAAGTTGGTGGAATTAAATATTTTCTTATCTTCAGATGTGAGTAGTACATTGTAGGGGAATTGCTGTAAACAGCTCAAAGTGTAGTTAAGCCGAGCAAGAAGAGCTTTTAGCGAAATATATTGGTGGAAATCTGAGGACAGAAGCCAAGAAATATGGGTTTCCTTAAAGTGTTGGTAACTCTGTGCGGCACTGTTTTAGAACGTCCAAAAAATTATTTCATGTTTTTATATTTATCGTTTTAATAACCAAATAATCCGATCTACCCCTTGTCAAAACCCATTTTCAAACATGAATCTTACATCGATATTTAAGAAGGTAGTTTGGCCCGGTGTGGGCAAAAATAATGGTAGAAATAGGAATAAAACCTTTTTCAATAAAAAATGCAACTTTTCAAAAAAGTGGCTGCCAAAAATCGGTAGCCATAGTAACATCAATGTTGAGGTATACGTCAGGACGACTTTAAAATGTTCCCAGATAAATTTCGCTAAGTTTGGCGGTCTAGCTTGAACGGTTTTATTAAACGTTATTCAATTTATTAGAGCCGGGGGCCGGTTTTTATAGGGTTAAACAGAGAATTTACAAATTTACGGCCAAAGCCATCTCTTTTTAGCCCGCTCAAGTACTCTAATGATAGCATGAACATAGGAGTAAATCCGCTCGCGTAAGTGCGGTGCACTAGTGCTTGCTGAGGGAAAAATTATTTGAGGGTTGGTGGTTGGCATATTTTCGTTACTGTAATGTTCCCAGGCAAGCAAGGAAGAAAAAAGAAAAGAAAACGAGAGCCTCTTATAACAAGAAGACATAACCATGTGCATTGTTGATTTGCTGTTGCAGGGAGTCTGTGTGTCAGCCAGCTACTATCTGGGAAGGGTGATTCTTAAACGTCCCGGCAGCACTTGCAAGCTTCATACTGGGTATTGCGACTCGTTTGGATTCTGCATCACAGTGGATAGTAATGACTTACTGAACAATCTCAGGGACGCCTTTAAAAGATTATTCTCCAAAGCTGCTATAAAAAGCTTTTGGACCTGGATTAAGGGACATTGGTACGTTTTTTACTGTTTTGAGTTGGCTTGACGAATAAGTGGGACAGTTCCTAAATTGGCCGTGGGGTTGCGTCGGTTGGGAAAGTGGAACAAAAAATGGTTTTATCAACTGAGCTGATAAAGTAAATTGGCTATTGTAGTGAGGTTAAGAATTAGACTTATCAAGCGCTTGCCCCTTCGTCAGAACTAGCCTGATAGGCTTCAAGGTAGAAATGTACAGAGATCGTAAAAAACGCGCTGGGGGTAGGGAAAGAGAGAGGGCTTCCCCAGATCACGCACGTCTTGTTCTCCCCTATTTTGTTCCGGTGACCGTCACACTTTCTGAGAACCTGGGGCAGGCTACTTGAGAGCGGGTCGAGCATGGTTTACATACCCGATGTTGGAGAAGTGCTATCGGTGGGAGCACGGTAACGTGAAAAACAGTAATAAATTAACTGACTTTGAATATACAAAGTAAAACTGAAGGTGAATAGATGGCACTGGATGTGATCCGCGTAACTGAACGACTAACTTTTCTTCTTGTCTTATACTTTTTCCGCTGTAGGTACCTTCTCCTCATTAGTATTGGCGGCATTTGCCTGATCATTGTTCTATTCAAGGTCACATATCGCTCCAGAACAAGTCTCACAGGTCTTGCAAGGCGCACTGTCTTGCGATGCCTTGTTGGAAACCAGCAGGCTGTGCATGTAAGAAGCCATGAAGTATCCGCGGCAGAATTTGACGAAGTCGTGGGAGATATGAACTTGTAAGCACACAAGACGGCGAAGCCTTGGTTGTGGATAAATAATAACAAGTATCAACATTTCCTTACAGGATATTCGAACACTAATAATTTTCCACTAGCAGTGGTACTTGTTTTTCTAAGCAAGCTACGTCTGACTAAGAAATGAGGGACACTTAATATTCAGAGGACTCCACCTTACCAGGAAAAATGACAGAGCACCTTTTGACAATCACTTGAAAGTCGCCCAAAAGTGTTTGATAGGTGCTAGTCTATTTTATACGTTCTTTCCGATAGCCTCCGCCGGTCCCCTGCCCAGTTTAAGCTCCTAATACTCACTGTAATACTCGGAAGCTACGAACTTGAAAATTATATATCACGACTCTGACCTGAGCCAATAAAAAGAGTTTTAGACTTTATTTGAAACAAGGTGATAACAGATAACAGATAAAATCTAATTAAAGACTCTTTTATTAAATAGCAACTGTGACACTTAAGCTGGACGTTTAATTGCTGACCACTGAAAAATTGGCTCTATTTTGCCAAGCAGATATCAGAAAAATGAAAGGCATCCATATCAAGGACGGGGCGGGGGGGGGGGGGGGGGACAAACTATATTGGCCTATCCTAAGGGCCCCCCCCGAAAGGGGTATTTTTTTAAAGCTAAGGGTTTGGGAAGGGGGGGGAAAATTTTTAATTTGGTCTAAAAAGAAGAATTTTCTGGTGGTAAAAAAGTCCAAGAAATTACCCGTTTTTGTGTGTTTTTTAAAATAAATAACAAATAAATTAGTTATATAGAAAGAGAAAGATTACAGCGTACGCATTAGTAATAAAGTAAAAATAAAATGAAATAAGTAGCAATTAGGAAAGTAAGAAAAAAAAGGAGGGAAGGCGGGGGGGGGGGGGGGGGGGGGGGGGGGGGGGGGGTACTACCTATAGTGGCCTATACTAGAGGCTCCGCCCGAAAGGGGTACTTATTTAAAGCTGAAGGTATGTGAAAGGGTAGGTAAATCTGTCATTTTGGTCTAACAGAAGGATTTTATGGCTGTGAAAAAGTCCAGACAATTTCCCGGTTTTGTGATTTATTTATATTTAAAGAGACAGTGCATTTACAGCAGTTAAAAGGGATGCTATATGAAAGGGTAAGGGGTTGGACCCTCCCTGTATAAAACTTTGTTGAGTACCCCACCCCCTGGGATCAAGGACTGTTGGTAACTAAACTCCCACCTAAAGAAGCACACGATATAATTATCCAAGCCTCACCATAAATACACGCAAGAGAAAGTAGAGAAAAATGCACCCAAAAGAGTATATGTTGATTTTAGAAATTGGAATTGGATGTATCGTGTCTTACCTACAGATCAGTTTTATGGCTTATCTAGCCATTTTAGCTTATAGTCCACTGGCCAGGGATATGTTCCTCGAAATAACCCTGCATGTTAGTTAACTGTACAAGTAGACAATGGTAAACAGTGAAGCGGCTCATTATAATTTTCACGGTGTTGGCGGGTGTGATGAAATACTGACTACACAAAGAAACACACCCTTCTGAAACTGGCTCGTTAAAATAAATCTTCTCCAACAATTTTTCGAACATTTAAACTACTAGTGTTGGAACCATGCCTTGGAAACAGTACCTACTTGTATGGGACTCAGACCCTCAAGAGTTACACTACTTCAAGTTCATACACCGTTCAATAAAAAATATGAATACAAGACTGTTCGGCATCAAGGTGAAACAATTCTTCGCTTTTGCATCCTGAATCGGTAACAAACAAGTGGCCATCCTTGGAGACAGCAACAAATTGAGGAGATACCAGCTGAGAGTTCTCTCCCTCTATTGTGGCAACGTGCCTTCCGTCTGGTTTGTACACTTGCAGACGGCTTTTGTTACTGTCACAAACCACAAGATTGTTAAACCTGTCCATGGCGAGCCCCAGTGGTTTGCCCAGCTTCTCTCGCTTGGACCCTTTAGCTCCGATATCGTACAGGAACATTCCATTATCACTGAAAACCTTTACACAATGTGCCTCTGGATATGAGACAAAGAATTGGTTTCTGTGATGAATGGCAAAAGAGGGTTGACCATCTAAGGTGCGATCACTTGAAAACGACTTAACAAGCCCTCCTCCTTCACGGAGAATTTTAACGGTAGCTTCCTCTCGGTCGCAGACGATTAGTCGACCATTGCTCGACACAGAAACTGATTCTGGCAAGGCAACACCCATAACATAGTACTTCAAAAACACGCCTGTGTTGGAACAAAGTATCATCTGACGTGAATCAATGACAACTATTTCACCAGATGAATCGAATGCGACCGACTTTGGCCACTTAAGATTCTTAGAGGCATCGCGGACGTCACCAAAATGTCTCAGATACTTTCCTTGAGGGCTAAAAATGGTGACTCTCTTGCTAGACTCATCGGCTACTGCTATGATTCCACTTGCTTTACAAATTGCAATGCCACAAGGGGTATAGTAGGTTCCATTTTCAAATAAACCATGGGATCCTAGTTGACCCTTTCTTCGATATCGATGCGGGGCCGTCACTTCAACACTCCAAGGACTATCAGTCAGTGGTTGTCCATTAATAGTTATCATAACCTCATGTTGACCAACATATTCTGGGGTAAAGGTGACACTGTATCTTCCGTCCCTTTTGTCTATAATTGTGGATGACATTCCTTCTCCCACTGGATTCTGAATATGTATTTTTACCAGATCATTTTCATTATAACACTGATTGTCTCGAGAGTCCCTTGTGACAACTTTAAAACTCGTCTGCCTTTCAACCAAGGGATCCCTTAATCCCACTCCGAACGCAGTTGTCCATGACGAGTCTGTGTTGCTCATGATCAAATGCTCTGCACCTACGTCTCTAACAGACTTGAACATATCTTCATCAATAATATATTTGACAAAAGGAAAATGAAATGATTCACATGCGGTATTTTCTGAATTCAAAAGGTCAATGCAGCGAGTGATAACAATTTCTCGTTCGTTTAGAATTTCCACATCGCAACTTCTGTTAAGAATGCTTTTTCCATATTCTACCGGGCTCCTCAATTGGGTGATCAACAACTCCAGTTCACGTTGTTTCGTTGCATGACCTTGCTGTAGTTTTTCATAAATGTCATCCAATTGTGTCAACACGGCTTTCTCGTGCTTTTTTAACTGTAGAATGGACAGTTTCACAAATGCTTCTACATCTCTACGTGCAGCGTTGATGTCTTTTTCCCTAGCTTTAAAGATTTCAGAACTTTGTTTCATTTTTTCGTTCAATGCAGTGATCTCATCTTCTGCGAGTAACAAGGCATCGTTGATCTCTTGCTTTCCTGTTTCGGCTGCTCCTTGGATATACACAACATCATGTCGGGAATGGCTTTCTTCGTGACAAACACGGCAGACACATTTGAGGCACTGCTGACAGTAGAGACTTAGTTGTTCCTCTTGATGGTTTTTCTGTGAACACATCGCTGCTCTTTGTAGCAAAGACAGGACATTCCCAACCAGAATATTATGATGATTCCGGGTGCCTCGCAGACGGCGGTGAGCTTCATCACAACGAAAACAGAGATGATCACGGCAAACATAACAATAGGAAATTGCAGCCTTCCTATCAACACAGTTTGAACATTTGACACCTCTTTGGTTTTTTTTCGTCGACAAAATGTCCTTGAATGGAGCTAAGTGAAAAGAAAGGGGCAAATCATCGACTGATTTTCCTTCGGGGATTTGGAATGACGACATGCAAGTTGGGCAGCTTGTTTCTTCTGGAAGGCGCGTGCCATCAATATACACCAAGTTTTCAAGACATGCTAAACAGAGGGAGTGAAGACACGGTAAAGTCCTCGGATTGTTCAGCGCTTTCGAACAAAGACGGCATTTGGTTTTCGTAAAATCTTCCCAACACTGACGAACGTCCATTATTGCGTGTTCGACTGCCTAAGCCACTCTCATCATCTACCAGTCACGGAATATAACACTTGTTTGCTCAGGCCACATTGTATAAATAGAAAACGATATGGGGTGGCCAGCTGCTTAGCAACAAAACTTAAAATTAACGACCACACTGTTCCTCTTAAAACGATTCAAAACATCATGAAGGTGAATGTATTCTTTGATTCCGATACTTCGGTTTGAAACACAATCCTATAGGTCGGAGGCTGAAACAAAATACGGACCTTAACAATTAAAGAATTCTTAATATGCAGCCACATATTAGTTACCTATAGCTACCATTAACTTCACTTAAAACATCGACTGTCAATGCAATTTCAAAATTGCACTTAAAAATATCAGCGGAGCTCCCGCGCGCGAAGCGCGCGCGCAGCGGAGCACCATGGGTAAGAAAATTTGGTAAACTATCCATCCCAGAAAATTTGGTTATGACGTAGCGTACGCCCGTCCGTACACACACTTCATGTAAGCCGATGTCAAATGTCACAATAGATCTTGCACAACTTGACTAGCCTCTTAGTTATGTAAGCTATCCGTATGAGTACGATTAGATTGACAGCTGTCAAAATCAGACATCCGCTGACAATTATCACATGACCGTCTCGCGGGCTCAGATAGAAGACCAGTCGTTTTGCCCCTATATAAGCTGATATAATATGTCACACTTACCAATTCAACATAAAAACGAAACTACGGCGGGCAATGCTGTCAGTTGGCTGACAGTCGTTTAAAGTTACATTGGCAAGCCAAATTAAGGTCAATTGACAGCTGTCAAAATGGGACATGTGCAGACCGCTATCAGAAAACTAATAACGAGGGCTCAGGTTGTCTCAGGTACACGATCTGGCATTTTCTACTACATGCCGGACGGAAATGTCCTACTCACACTTGTAGTCTTTTAATTCGAATATTCGCCATTCTAATGAAGGTTAATTGTCAGCTGTCAAACTAGAGTATACGCTGACCATCATCACCTGAGTGGATCGCGGGCTCATTTTTCTATCTATTGAGGTCACGTAGTGTTTAAAGTTTTGCGCTGATATTTTATTTGACCACGGGCTCAATTCGAAGCCCCATAGCTTTATAGAAAATCTCTCCATCCCAGAAAGTTCGGCAATCACGCGGCCGTACACCGACCACCCGACCTTCCGTCCGTCCGCACCACAGGCATACCAATGTTTAATCTCACACTTTCTAGCTAGTTTGGGAGCTTGCAACCTGATATTGTACATCCATGTTTTGATTAATTGACAGCTGTCAAAACAGTGTTTCTGCTGACCAGTATCGCCTGACCGTATCGCGGGCTCAGGTATCGACCCTCTGAGTTCGAGCAATATTTTGAAGGTATTCGCTGACAAGTTGCTACTTTTCAAATGATCGCAGGCTCAAGTTCAATTTTTTTAAAATGCATATGAAATAAGTCGTGTTTCATGAGCCGCTCTTTTAAAATGTTGATTTCGAACTGATCTCGGACACGAAAATTCAACCGGCTTTTACATTTACATGCAGGGAAGGCAATCGCTTTTGACTTTTCTCACTGTCACGCGTTGATCACGCTCTAGGTCCAATTTTTATGTTCTGATTGGTCAAAATTTGACAGGTGAGTTTATGCGGAAAATTTTTTGCAGCGTCTGGAAACTTGCTTACTGATAGCTGGAGCTGGGAGAGTTTTGTGTCATCTCGTGATGTTATAAACTGTCTTTTTCTACTTGGTGTACAAAATGAAATACAGCTGCTATCAAGATTGTTCTGAAATTCGTGGCTGGTTTGTTTATTGCGCTTTTTGTTGACAAACGCACCGCTTGTCAAAGTCATTGGAAATCCGATTTCGGATGGCATCGTTTTCAAAAATGAGCTTACTCACTTGCCCTTGCTTGAGGCGTAAGAAGGTTGAAAAGTTTCAAGCGATTCTGGAACACTTGATGACCTTCAGAAGCAGCATCTCGACTGATAAGCTTGAGCCATTATTGCTTTTAATGTTTTTTTTTTTCGGTTTCCTGAAGTCGAGCCTATGGTTTATGCGGCTTAAGTTAAAACACGAGCAATGATCTAACCTACAATAGTATCAGGTTTAAAAAGCCTTTAGACATTTTTTGACCCGAAAATTCAAAGAAAAGGTTCCGAAGATTATTTAGTTATGATTTTGGCTGTAAACAGAAAGCTCTGAGCGATTTTCTTGCCTCGAGTTCATCTTGAAAAAGAGCGAACACCGGGAAGCCGGCTTAAAACAAAAATAAGTTTATGCTTGCCTGACTCATGATTTTCTGAGACACTTTACTCTCAATACTTCTCTTCGTGAATGAAAATATTGTCTCTGTACATGTTTCACCGAATTAAACTTATTTTATTGATTGTTAGTAGTCCCTCTCGCAATTTTCATCGCTGCACCGGTTGTTTCCAGTCGAACATAAACATCGCATGTAGGAATACTTAAAGCGCCGCGCGTAAATATCACTCGCTTTTAAAGATTACACATAACAAAATCATACACAGTTTAATGAATAAAGGGAAATAAAACCTAAACATGACAATTTCTCTATTATGTTGAAGCGAAAATGGTAACTCTATTAATCGCACTGCAAATTTGGTGCCTGTCAAAAGTGAGAACCCGTCCGGCTGGCCGAAAAGTGATTTTGGGAATTTTTTTTATCGTTTTCATTAAAAGCCCATAATTATTACCCCGCATATCACATAGGACCATATTTTTCTAACAGAAAACGTTTTATAATTCAATGCTATAATTTGTTGTGCAAAGGAAGCGCGTTCTTTGATCGTCGTGGATGTTGAATGAGTGCAAATTCTCTTGCAAAATTGTGAAAAACTGCAGAATTATAGGTTTAAATAGGGCAAAAAAGAACAAATTCTGTCCGAGGTCTGTGTACTGTTTACCTGAGACGTGATGAGAAAACGTATGTTTAAAAGTCTAGTTTACACGCCACCAGATCCGTCACCAAGCTTTACTAGTAAACTAAACTTGTCGAACACAAAAAATCCGGCCTGATTTTTATTTTGGCCTCTCTTTTAGACAGAGGAATGCAACGTGTGAATTGGCTGCCACCAAGGACTATCGTGGCGCATGTGTTTCTTAAAATTATATTTCGGGGTTGTCCAATTATCCATAGTCTCTCAACGGAGCAATGTTGGAGAGACTGGTGAATGCCACATTATGATGCTACAGCTAATTCAAATACAATACACGAATAGGTCTATTTGTTTTCCAGGCCTAATCTACTGTGACCGAACATGATTGCTATTTTTCGGTGTACAAATAACTTGATGTAAAACTTGTTTCACTCTTGGACGGTCAAATTCTGATTGTTCTCTAAAATCACTCAGCCTTTGCCTCAAAAGTCAAATGAATGTGCCCTGATCTGTGGATTACAAGTTTATTGTCTGATTTAAATTATGAATTTATTAACGGGAGCTTCGCTTTTAGCCCTGGCTAAATCTATATATTAGCGAAGCCCCATAGCTAAGAAAATTTGGTAATGTTATCTATCCATCTGTTTTTTTATGACGTCAGCGTACGACCTCCCGTCCGTACAGACGCTGGGAGAGGGGGAAGGGAGTCAGACGTCAGCCCGTCGGGGGAGGGGTATGTTATAGCTGAGGTGAAAGTTTGCATTTCAAGCAACTAGCTCGTTTCAGCGGTAAATCGCATGACCGCCCGGACTTTTAAAGAAAGAAAAAAAAAAGAGTCTTTCTTTCCACTAAATTTTAATGTCTACATTAACTTAGATAACAGGGAAAGAGCTAGAACGAGAATTAAATAACAACGGAGACCGATTTCGTTGGAAGAAAAATATGAAAATTATATAGCGACGGTTAGAAAATGAGAAATGTTAGCGGCTACCAAAGTGAAAATGAGCGGCAGTGAAAAAACAGAGTGAACAGGAACACAAAAATTTCCTCCATAAAACGTGTAAATAGGAAGTGAAAAGAAGTTTCACGTTTTAGTCGTGCAACACAACGGCAAGGAAATGTAAAAAAAAAGTGTTGTGCACGTGCAAAGTCGTTTTTTTTGCTATTTAGATCTATTGTTGTTTTTTTTTTTTTTACCGTTTTCGTTGTTTGCACCCTGTCTTCAGTATTACTGTTTTCTTAGAGGAAACTATAAATATTAAAGAGAGCTTCACTTTAGCCCTAGCTAAATCTATATATTAACATTTTGTAGGAAGATCAAGATTGAGAATAAGAATCGCAATACAAAATAAGCATGCTAATTCACTAAGTCATCCTTTCCTTTTTTTACAGTTGAATTTCGACCATCAAAACATCTTCCTTTATTTGTATCTGATGACAAAAAAAAGAACATCATAAACAAAGATATCGACTCGTACAAAATTCATAATAGGTGCTTGTTTAAACAGAGTGTGAAATTAGTTGTGCTCATATTAACAATACTAGCTCACAACTGTCAATAGAACGACAATGCGTTTAGCCTTGGAAAATAGGGACCTTACGAAATCACGACGACGACGGCAACGGGAACGTCAAAAAATAATAGGTTTAATGAGCAAAACAACTCTGCACGTGCATCACGCTTATTTGTACATTTCTTTGCCTTCACTGCACAATTAAGACGTGAAATGACCAAATTTTAAGTTTACTTGGGGGCGGGGACGGCAAGGCGATAAATTCTACCATCTTTGTCCGAACTTGAGCGCGTTCCCCTTTCTTCAGCTCCAGCCAAAATCCCCTTCTTTTAAGTGACGGGGTGAATTGGGAAAATCGCGAAAAAGTTTAAAATGATGCGAAGTCTGTTTTATAGCGGTGGTTTCATGGACGTCGCCGTTGTCGGATCGTAAGGTCCCTAATAGCCGACATTTCGCGATGCCAACAATGGTTTCCCCGCGAAATGACAGATGCAAGAGCACTACCCAGACCTTTATTGTGACGCGTCATCAGTGCAGAATTTCTGGGCTCGTTTCCCAGACGTCATTTTGCGGGGAAACCAGTGGTGACGTCGCGTAATTTCGGCTGTTTTCTCAGGTTAGCATTAGGTAACATCGGCTGAAGTCAGATTGTTTCTTTAAGTAAAATTACATGAAGAACAACTTAAGTCCAACTTTACTGTGTAATATAAAAGTGAAACAGAAAAACTCCACTGTGATGCTTTGAACCCGGGTCACTTGCTTTATAGCCTACATCTATATCCACTACACCATCGAGGACTAGCTGCCAAATCCAGTAATTTTTAAAACATACATGTTCTTATATATGCCGTACCTCATTACAATATTTGAAACCTAACCGTTTTCAGTTCAGTGCTTAACCCTAATCACTGCAGATCAGTGCTTAACTCTCTACTGTGTTCTCTCCATAACTGGCGCTCTGTAGTTTTGGTTTCTTCAGCTACTCTAGCCTCATTCTACACTTCAGTCTCGTTCCATTATGGAAATAATGCGTTATGTAAAATTCATAAGGTGTCCAATCTGGCTTCACTCGATGTTACCTAACGCTAACCGTTTTCTCAGGCTACAAAGCGTTTAGTTTCGACCTTTTTTCGTCGCCCTTACTGAACAAATCAGGACAAGCTCTTGCGTAAGCAATTGGTTACATGGGCGATCACATCGCTTTTCACGGAGATTAAATCTAAAATGACCTCCTTTAGAATGATTGCGGTATCTATTAGGAAAAAACAGGACATGAACTATATAAACTTCAAACCACGCCCACAAAATGAAGTCTGTCATAATAATTATAATTTTGTTTGTTTCACGTTACCTTTCAGAACAGTTTTTACTGCGGAGCCCCAAGAAACTGGAACACTTTACCATACCACCTCCGGAACATTGACTGTTCAGTTTGCTTTTCAAGAAAGAACTTTTTAATTACTACTTGTATCTCACTAAGTCTGTTTATGATGTCAACCCCCCGCCCCAGACCTATAAGAGTGTGTGTATCAATTGCCACACTACTCGGTCATTGACCAGCTTGCTCCATCGAATGTGTTGTTGATTCTTTTGTTAATGTTTGCCCCTATTCTGTTTGTTATTTCTGTTTCTATTGTTTCTACAAGTACACTGTCATCATTGTTAGTATTAGTCTTATCCATATTATTATTTTTATTCTTTTCTGGACCTCGTAATGTGGCTTGTTCTGAGAGTGTTCCAGGTCTCTTGGCGAAGTTTATAAATGGATAAATAAATAAATAAATTTTGTATCAGATGTTTTCCAACATCAAAGAAGTCAATTCTATACGGGAGTACCCAATCCGCAAAATTAAGAGATGTAATTACCGAGGTGCATCTAACATTGTTTGAGTTGAGTTGTTGTCAGGGACGGTTTGGGTGTACATAAAGCGGCCATGAAATGCTTCCGTTCAACTTTACTCACTGACATTTCTCCTTCTTCTAGCGCGTACAGTGCTGCCTGAAAAACAACCATGAGAATCAATCACGCATAAATGAGAGTTTATTTTCTTTTGACTAATTTGAATGCCTCAAAGGAAACAACGAGAGGAGGAGGAAGAGGAACGTAATTAAACTCTATTATTAGTCATTCAGATTATTTCACCGTTTATAATTGGCTCAAATCTCCCAGGTAATTTTTCATAACCAGTAGGCGTTGACCAAATTAGGAAGAAGCGAGCAATATACCATCGTTTGGATGGTGTATTTGCTTGGAAACGAGGTTCATGGATGGTATATTTGCCTAGAAAAGAGAATGCTTGGTCAATAGACAGCGAACTAAAAAAATGCCGGTCACAGCTATCCCAAGACGAAATAGCTGAATTTCTGCTAATATTCCCCTCGATCTGATCATGCTCAGCCTCATTCAATAATTGTTATTGTTATATAGCTGGAAATGTTTTCCCAGCAGCGCGTGCTCTCAATGGTTACTTCGAGGTCACAACGTCAAGACATCCGACAATGAAACTGTTTCCCGCCAAAATCTCTGAGCGGGCAACATTACAAATCTATGACGTCAGAGGGTAACAGTGCACTGTTAGCCGCGAATGTTCACCAATGACGTACCGCCGTTACAGCGAGCTTTAATAAATTTCCAGCTATATAACAAATCACTTAAAGACTAGTTCCGAGGGTAACGGTTAATTTTGTTTGTCTCGGGACCAGTCATTAAGTGTTCAATACAATTACGCCAATTGTACCTCGAATTCTTTGGCAATGAACGTAGTTAACGTCCCTTACCTCTCTACACAAGAGAAAACAGCTGATATCTCATATGTCTTTGAGTGAAAGTTGAAGTTTCACAAAAAACTGTATCGTATTACCAGCTCATAACAATGGTTCTTAATGTGGCAACAAGATCGTGGAGCAAGGTGAAGATTGTGATTGTGGAACACCAACGAAGTGTCAAGTGCTGTGTGGCCAGAGATGACAAGCGTGGAACACCAGGATGTACAGTGAGGCCAGGAATGCAGTGCAGGTTATATACATCCTAGGGCGTTGGCTTAACGCGCAAAATAGGCGGGGATAATCTACTATCAAGCGTTTTTTTTTTGTTTTTCGGGAGGGAAAAAGTCGGCGGACGGCGAGCAATACAAAGAACAAGGGAAGGACACCTGATCGTAGATTAAGGCGGGGAAGCAAACGTTTCCTTGCCAGCCTAACTGCAAAAGTTGACCCAAATGGCTGCTCGCCGTAGACGCTTGCTATGGAAAACTCTGGGAAACGTCCTCCCGCACAAACTAGCACATAGGATACTAGCCATTAAACCTCGAGTCTCCAGTGCGCAGTTCACATCGAAAATCTATCCAACTAAGCTAGAGTACTTACTCGACAGGACATATTTTTGTTGGAATTGAGGAATATGGTAGCCTGTGTTGGTAAAGGAGTTTTGCACGAATCGTTGCCCAACTTTCGATTTTTGCTCGCCCAGACGCGCGATGTAGATTAAAAAAGATGGTTTGCAAGCCCTTTCTATTTGTAGACGCACGACAGTTATTTCTTTTCACAGTTAAGATTCTTTATCATTACTTTTTCCTCTTCAGTCACGTGGCAGGGACATGCTGCTCTGAAGACTGTAGAGTCATCCCAGAATCCCAAGCGCGCGTGTGTCAAACAGAAACACAGTAAAACACAGGAAAACTCCCATGCAGTGCGACAAAAGGTTTTGTTGCAAATCTCTGGTACCATGATTTTTGGACCATTTGAACGCTAGATACATCGGAATGGTTTATTTGAAACAGTTTCCAAGACAAAACGTAACATGTAATAGCGGATCCAACACTTGCTTGGATGGTGCCTGTACTGGATCAATATATGCCCTGTATGGGACCAATGAATGCGAATGTCATGACGATCCAGATGAGATGTGCCACGTCTGTTGCAACAACAGCCTTGTGAGTCTATATTAAGTCGGTGGAATTGCGACACTGTTTTAGAACCTCCAAGAAATTATTTCGTGTTTTTATATTTATCGTTTTAAGAACCAAATAGTAGATTTTTATTATCCGATCTACCCCTTGTCAAAACCCATTTTCAAACATGAACCTTACATCGATATTTAAGAAGGCAGTTTGCTCCAGTGTGGGCAAAAATAATAGTAAAAATAGAAATAAAACCTTTTTTTTTATGAAAAAAATGCAAGTTTTCAAAAAAAATGGCAGCAACAAATCAGTAGCCATGGTAACATCAATGTTGAGGTAACGGCACTATGACTTTAAAATGTTCCCAGAAAAATTTCGCTAAGTTTGGCGGTCTAACTTGAACGGTTTTATTAAGCCTTATTCAATTTATTAGAGGGGGCGGTCTGAATAGGGTTAAACAGAGAATCTGCAAATTTACGGCCAAAGCTATCCCATTTTAGCCCTCTCAAATACTCTAATGATAGCATGAACATTTGGAGTAAATCCGCTCGTAAAAGTGCGGTGCAGTAGTGCTTGCTGGGGGAAAAATTCTTTGAAGGGCGGTGGTTGCCATATTTTTATTGTTCCTGTAATGTTCCTAGGCAAGCAGGGAAGTAAAAAAGAAAAGGAAACGAGAGTCCATCTGAAGAGCCTCTTATAACAAGGAGACATAGCATTGTGTATTGTTGATTTACTGTTGCAGGGAGTCTGTGTCAGCCAGCTACTATCTGGGAAGGGTGTTTCTTAAGCGTCCCGGCAGCTCTTGCAAGCTTCATACTGGGTGTTGCGACTCGTTTGGATTCTGCATCACAGTGGATAGTGATGACTTAATGAACAGTCTCAGGGACGCCTTTAAAAGATTATTCTCCAAAGCTGCTATGAACAGCTTGTGGGACTGGATTAAGGGACATTGGTACGTGCGTTTAAGTTGGCTGACATATTTGGCGCATATTTGGCGTCCGTTTCCACGTAGCTAAACGTTTGACCGGTTTTCAAACCACGGTTGCGCAACCACTCGCAATAATAGGCAACAGGGTGTGTAAACGGACGATGTAACATCCTATAATGTTGAGAGTTGCTGGCCAACAATGTTGCGTCCGTTTGTACTGGGCTTAATTTGGTTTCTAAAGAAGATGTGGTACCGGTATTGCCTCGGAGTTGATGAAATTGGCCACTGTAGAAAGATTGTGAAGTTGACGTTTCTAGCGAAAGTCTTTTGCCAGACCTGGTCAAGGGATTGTTGGTTATGTGAGTTTCTTAACGTTCAAGTGCTGCGAAATTCGCGGATATGAATGACGTGATTCTTCTTCGATTCTTCTAAACAAAAGGAGCTAAAAGAAGAAAACATTAAAGCGCGCTGCATTAGTTTGCCGCTTACATCATATTAATAAGTATCGTCGTTTATTCTAGTGAACCAATGGTTGAGGCGCTTTCACAGCGTCTATGCATGATTGCGCGTAATATGACAGATCTACAAACTTTGTTGAACTGGAAGTAGATCAGCGTCCCGAGAATCGACGACAACAATAGGCCTTTAGTGAGCGATGGTTTACGTAAGGGATGTTGGGGATATGCTGTTGGTTGGGAGCATGGTAACGTGAAAATCCCAAAAAACATATGACTTATAAGTCATAATATATGTAAACTATGGATGAAGAGATGAAAGTGGATGTGGCCCTCGCAGTTGAATGACTAACTTCTTCTTGTCTTCTAGCGGCTATTACTAACATTTTGTCTTGTCTTATACTTGTTTTCCTGCAGGTATTTTCTGCTCATTAGTACTGGCGGCATTTGCTTGATCATTGTTCTACTCAAGGTCGCATATCGCTCCAGAACAAGTGAAACGAAGTGTTAACAGTGTTGGCCAAAGTCTAATTAAAGACTCTTTTATTGAATAGCAACTGTGACACTTAAGCTGAACGTTTTAATTACCTATTGCTGACCACTGAAAAATCGGCTCTATTTTGCCAGGCAGGTAACAGAAAAAATAAAAGGTGTCCATATTAAGGACCGTGGGGGGGGGGGGGGGGGGGGGTCACCACAAAGTGGGCCCCAAGGGGGGGCCCCCGGGGGGAAACCCTTTTTAACCGGTAAGGTTATAAAAAGGGAGGGGATTTCCATTTTTTTGGTGTAAAAAAGGGTGGATTTTTTGGTAGAAAAAAAAAAAAAAAAAAATATTTCAGTAATATGTTACAAATACCATGAATTAAAAGAATTGTTTATTAAATAAAAAGTCACAAGACAGAAATGTGCTGTTTTATTGTGGACCTGTCAGCAGAGAAAAGAACTGTTGTTTGTGGGAGGGGAGAAAAAAAAAAAAAAAAGAAGTGTGAGGAGGGGGGGGGGGGGGGGGGGGGGGGGGGGGGGGCGGTACTACCAATAGTGGCCCATACGGGAGGCTCCGCCGGGGAATACCTATTTAACGCTGCAGGTATATGAAAGGGTAGGGATTTCACTTCATTTTGGTCTAGAAAGGAAGGATTTTTTGGCTGAGAAAAAAAAAACCACAACATTTTCCGGTTATATGATGTAACACAAAGCCGGGAAATGTTCTGGACTTTTTCACAGCTATAAAATCCTTCTATTAAAAAGACAGTGCATTTACAGCAGTTAAAAGGAATGCAAACTTCTTACATACATACATACTTTATTTTGCTCCCTTGCCAAAGGGGCTTTTCAGGAACAATGATTATATTACATTATTTATAATAATAACTAATTACGACACTTAACCTTCTTAACTAAATATACGAAAGGGGTACCTTTTCGGCCAAAAAATTAATGGTATCTTAAAGGGTAAGGGGTTGAACCCTCCCCATATAAAACTTTGTTGAGTCAGGCCCCATCTCCTGGGATCAAGGACTGCTGGTAACCAAACTGAAAAAGCTCACGATATAATTATGCATGCCTCATCATTAATATACACAAGAGAAAGTACAGAAAAATGCCCGCACAAGAGTATACGTTCATTTTCGAAATTAGAGCTTAAAGGAATGTACCGTGTCTTACCTACAGACTAGGGTTATGACTAGCAACTTTAGCTTTTAGTCCACTGGCCTGGAAAATTTTCGGTGAAATAGCCCTACAGAGTACTTTTTAAAACTGTACGAGTAAACAGTAGCAAACAGTCAAGGGGCCTATAATAATTTTCACTGGTGTTGGGAAGTGTAATGAATTACTGACTACACAAAGAAAACACACCTTTCTGGAACCGGTTTGTTACAATAAATATTCTCCCAAAAACATTTGTTAATTTAAAGCTGTTAGTGTTGGAATTATAACCTTTGGAAACAGTATTTCTTTGAAGCGACTCACACGTTGGGAATTAAGCTACTTTACTGTTAGTAAACAACAGTCAGTAGAAAATATGAATACAAGACTGTTTTCCACTTTCCCATCCTGAATCAGTAACAAACAAGTGTCCATCCTTGGAGACAGCAACAAATTGAGGAGATATCAGCTTAGAGTTCTCTCCCTCTACTGTGGCAACGTGCCTTCCATCTGGCTTGTACACTTGCAGACAGCTTTTGTTACTGTCACAAACTACAAGATTGTTAAACCTGTCAATTGCAAGTCCCTGAGGTTTGTCTAGCTGCTCTTGCCCAGATCCTTCAGTTCCAATATCATAGAGGAAATCGCCATCATGACTAAAAGCCTTGACACAATGCCTCTTTGGATAGGAAACAAAGAATTTGTCTCCATGAAGAATAGCAAAAGAGGGCTGGCATTTTTCAAAGTCTGGATCAGTTGGAAAGGACTTCAAAAGTTCTCTAGTATAAGGGCAGAGAACCTTAACTTTGGCATCCTTTTTGTCACAGACAATCAGTTGCCCATCTTTTGAAACAGAAACTGACTTTGGCAAAGCAACGTTTCCAACATAGCTCAGAAAAAGTCCACGATTAGAACAAAACATTAAGTTAACACAATCAACGACAATTATTTCACCAAGCGAACTGAACGCAACCGAGTATGGCGAGCTCAGATTCTTGGAGCCATCTCGTAAGTCACCAAAATGTCTCAGATATTTTCCATCGGGACTAAAGAGGCTAATTCTTCTTCTCCCTCTATCAGCTACTGCTATGTTTCCACTAGTTTTACAGACTGCAACACCAAGAGGAGAAGAATAACTTTCATCTAAGTAACCATCGGATCCCAGTTGAAAAGCTCGCTTGTACACATGTGGTACACTAACATCAATAGGGCCAGCGTTACTTACGATCACTCGACCCGGTCGCAAATCTCGAACATCCTTAAATGACGCTTTTTTATCAGCAATATACTTCACGCAAGGAAACTGAAATGAATCCCAGTCCTGTCTACAATTCAAAAGGTAAACGCAACGATTGATGAGAGCTTGTCGTTCCTTCAAAATTTCCACATCGTAATTTCTTTTCAGAATGTCCTTTCCGTATTTTACCGGACTTTTTAATTGCTGGACCAACAACTCCAGTTTATCTTGTTTGGCTGCATGTCTTTGCTGTAGCTTTGCATAGATATCATCTAATTCTGTCAACATAGCTTCCTTGTGTTTTTCTAAACTATGAATAGCTGCATTCACGTACGTTTTTACAGTTATACGTGCAGCGTTGATTTCTTCCTTCCTAGTTTCAAATGTTTCCTTGCTTTCCTTGATTTTGTCATTCAACGCAGCGATCTCTTGTTCTATTTGCACCAAGGTTTCCTTGATCTGTTGCTTTTTTGGTTCGGCAGCATCCTGAACATTTTCGACAACATGTCGCCAATGGCTCACTTCATCACAAAATTGGCAGACGCATTTGCGGCATTTCTTGCAGTATAAACTCAGCGGTTCTTCTTGATGGTTTTCTTCTGGGCACATAGCTAACCTTCGTAACAAAGAATGGGCATTCTCAAGCAAGATATAACGATGACCCCGTGTGTACTCCAGCCGATGATGAGCCTGATCACAACGAAAGCAGAAGTAATGACAGCAAACATAACAAAAGGAGATTGCAGCTATACGGTTACCTCCTTCGCAATTCGAGCAATTAATATTTCCTTGAATTGCTTCGTCCAACAGAGTGTCCTTGAATCGACCTGAGAGAAATGGAATGGGTAAATCATCGATGAATTCTTCCGAGACTTGGAAAGGCGACATACATGTTGGGCATTCGACTTCTCCTTGAAGCCGTGTTCCATCAATATACACTAAGTTTTCGACACAGTTTAGGCAGAATGAGTGAAGACACGGTAATGTCCTCGGATTGTTTAGTGCCTTTGAACAAAGATGGCATTTGGTTCTCGTATAATCTACCCAACACTGACGAACGTCCATTATTGCGGAATACGTGTCTAAAAGCCACTCGCATCATCTACCAATCACGAGATATATCACTTACCTGCTCACGCCACATTGTACAAATTGCTGGTTTTCAGTGTCACGCCATTCAAAATAGATCAAAATAAAAATCAAAACCTTTCAATAGATAAAGTCCAGAATCTGGGAAGTGAAAGGAGGTACATATGCAAAGACTCTCGCCAAGACTCAGGTCAGAGGAATATTTCGTATACGAGACATCCGAAGAAATGTTTTACCCAAACTAAAAGAGATTTGTACAGAGACGCCACGCTGGTGCTCACTTGGATGAGCTCCAACATGGCGGACGGAAACCAACAGAAACACCTGTTACCGTGTTTGGCTACAAAAGCGTGAATTTATTCTTCGAGAAACTCATAAACATTAAACTAATACTTTTTCTAATGCATAAACTGTTTAGATAGCAAAATGTCCTAAAATAAGTCATTTTTTTAACCTACATGACAGCTCTCTTGGCCGTCATGTAAATGTCACGTCACGCAAAAGCTTAGAAATTCAAGCGTACTCTATCACAAAACCAAGAACCCTTTTGAAGCGAAAATTTTTTATGAAAATTAGTTTTCAGCTGCTCTAATGCATTGTGAAAGTAAAATCTCGGTAGGATCGATAGTTTTTTAGTTTGAATTTTAGTGACGTCATGTGAAAACCAACAATAGAAAACGATATGGGGTGACCAGCTGCTCGTCAATGAAACCCGGGGGGAGGTACTGCCTTATAAGAGGGTAATGGGGATGTGCCGCTGGATGGGGTCGCATATTTACGACTGGATTGACTATAATGGGCGGGGTCGCATTTTCAATAGAATTCTAGAATGGGATCGCACATTTTCGGATTTTTTGGGGTGAGACTGTTCTTCATATTTACGGTTAGCAAACGAATCAGAATGTTTGTACTGCAGATGAAAAGTAAAGTGTTCTTCATTCAATCATAAAAATAGGAAGTGACTAAGTTGGGATCGCAAAAATTACATATTTGCCCAAAAGTGACTAAGATGGGGTCTATAACTGGCCACGGAATAGACTATAATGGGGGTAGGGGCTCTGAGAGGCCAGCGGCACATAGCCAGCAAAAATTAACCCGAATCACCCCCCGCCCCTCCCCGGGCAACGAAACTGAGAATTAACGACCACACTGTTCCTTTTAAAGCGACTAAAAATATCATGAAGATGTATGTATTCTTTGATCCGGACATTTCGGTTTGAAACACAATCCTTTAGGTCGGAGGCTGAAACAAAATACGAACGTCATTCACTAAAACCTTTTAAGGTCTTAGGTCTTAGACTGTATCCTGCTCCCCCAGTGCACGCAATATTGGAGTTATCTTCGATCAGTCCCTTTGTATGGTACCTCATGTCAATGCAGTCTGTCAATCGTCCTTTTTCCATCTTCGTAATATTGGTTTCATACGCAAATATCTTACTTATGATGCTGCAAAGATCATTATCCATGCCTTCGTAGTTTCTAAACTTGATTATTGTAATTCTTTATTGTACGGCCTACCATCCTATCTTATTCGGAAGCTTCAACATGTTCAAAATTCTGCTGCTCGCCTTGTCAACCAGTGTCCAAGATTTTGCCATATTACTCCAGTCCTGAGGGATCTTCACTGGCTCCCTGTCTCCTTTCGTATTGAATTTAAAATTATGTTAATTACTTACAAAGTACTACATGATCGAGCTCCAATCTATATACAGGAACTCCTTCAATTGTATACACCCAGCCGCAATCTTAGATCCTCTAATAGAAATTTCTTAGTTAAACCCTATTTTAATCTCAATTCGTATGGTAAACGAGCTTTTTCTGTTGCTGCTCCGGAACTTTGGAATAACTTACCTGAGGATATTAAATCTGTAAACTCAATTGATGATTTTAAACGCAAACTTAAAACATTTCTTTTTATGCGAGCTTATGAATCGTGACGTTTTTATTTGTTATCTGATTTTTTATCTATTGTGTACAGTTATCTACTTTGTAGTTAGCGTCTAGTTTTAATGTCAATTTCTTGTGATTATTTTTACTTTTTAGTTCTATCTAATTTTTTGTAAACAGCGCCTTTGAATCTTGTAGAAAAGGCGCTATATAAATGGATTATTATTATTATTATTATTATTCGTGAATTCTTTAATTGTTAAAACAATTAAAGAATTCTTAATATGGAACCACATGTTAGTTACCTATGTAACCTACTATTAACTCCGCTTAATACATCGACTGTCAATGCAATTACAAATCATATTTCGTATTACTGTATCATCAAACCGAAGTCAGTTTCTTTGTTTAGGTCCCGGGAAAGTGTATGTTTCAAACTGAGGTCCGCGGGGGAACCAGGCAATAGGTTACATGGGCGATCACATCGCTTTGCACGGAACTTAAATCTAAAGTAACCGCCTTTAGGATGATCGCGGTATCTATCAGGAAAAAACACGACAGGAACTATATAGCATTCAAACCACGCCCACAAAGTGAGGTCTGTCATAATAATTATAATTTTGTTTATTTTACGTTACTTTTCAGAACAGTTTTTACTGCGCAGCCCCAAGAAACTGGAACACTTTACCATACCACCTCCGGAACATTGACTGTTCAGTTTGCCATTTCAAGAAAGAACTTTTTAATTACTCCTTGTATCTCACTAAGTCTGTTTATGATGTCAACCCCCCTCCCCAGACCTATAAGAGTGTGTGTATCAATTGCCACACAACTCGGCCACTGACCAGCTTGCTCCATCGAATGTGTTGTTGATTCTTTCATTGATGTTTGCCCCTATTCTGTTTGTTATTACTCCTTGTATCTCACTAAGTCTGTTTATGATGTCAACCCCCCTCCCCAGACCTATAAGAGTGTGTGTATCCATTGCCACACAACTCGGCCACTGACCAGCTTGCTCCATCGAATGTGTTGTTGATTCTTTCATTGATGTTTGCCCCTATTCTGTTTGTTATTTCTGTTTCTATTGTTTCCACAAGTGCACTGTCATTATTGTTAGTATTACTATTAGTGTTATCAATATTATTATTTTTTATTATTTTCTGGACCTCGTAATATGGCTTGCTCTGTGATTGTTCCAGGTCTCTTGGCGAAGTTTGTAAATGAATAAAGAAATAAATAAATTTTGTATCAGATGTTTTCCAACATAAACCAAGTCATTTCTATACGGGAGTGCCTAATCCACAAAATTAAGAGATGTAATTACCGAGGTGCCATCTGACATTCTTTGAGTTGAGTTGTTGTCAGGGACGGTTTGACTGTGGATAAAGCAGCCATGAAATGCTTGCGTTCAACTTTACTCACTGTCATGCCTCCTTCTTCTAACGCGTACAGCGCTGACTGAAAAATAACCATAATAATATTACGCATAAATCAGAGCTTATCTTCTTTTGACTGACATGAATACGTGAAAACGCGGAGAGGAGGAGGAAGGGGGACCTAATAAACTCTTTTATTGTTCATTCTAAAAATTTCGCCGTTTCTGATTGGCTCAAATCTCCCAGCTAATTTTTCATAACCAGTAGGCGTTGACCAAATTAGGAGGAGACGAGCAATATACCTTCAATTTGATGGTACATTTGCCTGGAAGCGAGGTTGCTTGGTCAATAAACAGTAAACTAAAAAAAATGGCGTTCACAGCTATCCCAAGACGAAACAACTGAATAAATAAATAATAAACGATAATCGTTATTGCCAAAAGATAAAAGGACATATCTTTTGTTACATTCTAGTGGCCTAAACACTCAATAAAAATCTGTTCTTAAAATTAATCTAGTTAAACTACAAATGGATGATAGAATACTTCGTAGAAACTACCTTATCTTGTGTTTAATTGATTTTCTGATACCATTCTCCTTCTTCAATAATTGTTAATACAATTACGCCAATTTTACCTTGAATTTTTTGGGACTGGACGTAGTTAACCTCCCTTACCTCTCTGCACAAGTTCTCAATATCCGCGCCAGAGAACAGCTCAGTACTGAGCCCCAGCTCCTCTAAATCAACATCCTCCGCTAAAGGAATAGCACGAGTATGCACTCTAAGAATTTGTAACCTGGCCTCAATGTCTGGTGGTGGCACATAAATGATGCGATCAATTCGGCCCGGCCTGAGAAGGGCCTCATCAATAGCATCTGGACGGTTGGTGGCGGCCACAATAAGAACGTCTTTTACAGCTGAAGAGCTGATAAGTTTAAGCCTTTGTGTTTTAATCGAAAAAGGCTCATTTCCAAGGTGACCTGACTCGCAGTCCCTTCTCATCAACTGTTCATTACCATGGTTACAAGAGTTCCTTTCCCCTGATTGGTAGATGTTTGCCAACACACCAACCCCATCCATTTCATTCAACAGAGTGGAAAGCAGTCGGCTCTCGACCCCAGTACTACTGTTTCCTGACCGTTTGCCCACGATGGCATCCAGCTCGTCCAGGAACAGCACTGAAGGAGCAGCAGCTCGAGCCTTCGTAAAAACCTGAAACAATACAAACACATTTCAGAAATATTAATTTTGATAATAATGATAATAACTAAAAATGATGATAATGATGATGATGATTCCTGGAGGGGCAGTGCAAACAACTGAAACCAATAATTCAAGTAGACATATTATCAGGATTGAGAATCCAAACTTTCAAGAGGCAAAGCAGTTGGTTCTTTTACAAGTGTGACTGCGGATTTGAACTTGAGACTACACAGTGCAAATCCAGCAGGTAGTCAGCGCAGGGCTTGAAATTGGGACCTTCAGATTACAAACGCAGTGCTCTAGCTGCTTAGCTATGCTGTCTCCTGTTCCATTTTCAGTAGTAGTTTAGTGGTAGAGCATGCATAATATCTACAACTATATTCAGTTCAAAAGTAGGTTGAGTTTGATCGTCCCGGTGAAAGTAGTCCTGACTAGGACTGTTGTTGTTGACAATGACTGTCAACAACAACAGTCCTATTCAGGACTACGTTTCCCTGGACGATCAAACTCCACCTACTTTTGAAATGACTCCCGTGTTCAAACCTTTCACAGTTTTATATTCAGTTGTTGCAAAGGAGGGTAGTACCATCACAAGTTATACAATACATCACTTGGGATACCTGTGCACTGGCTAGCATGAACTGAGCCCAGTTGTCTCTTAACTTCCTGGCACAGTTCAGTTCAGGTAGAAAACCAAACAGAAGAGGGATAGTTGAGTCAGATTAAAAAATTAACTCCTTAAGCCCCACTACTGATCCACATATAAATTCTCCCGACTGATCTTCATACATTTCCTTAAAGAATTGCTGAGAGAGTTTGATACTTTGGAACCTCAATTTAACAAAGTGCCAAGGGACTCTTAAGGATATTTGTTCGTTATATCTAGGGTTCATTACATCAAAAACCTCAGTTTAACAAATTTTTGGAAAACAAGCAAAATCTTTGTTATATATAGGTGCAATTAATGATTAATTTCCAACACCCGGCATTTTTGGATCTGAACAATTTCTGTAATAAACATTTGAATACGAAGCTTTTGTCTCAGTTCAGAGCTGTACATAGCTATGCCACAAATATACAAGAAATACAAGAACAAGCAAACGAAACTGCTTGAAACTACTCTATACATAAATTCTATCCTCGTTAGTCTGTTTCGCATTCATCTTTAGCTATCTTTTGCTCACATGTTGATACATATTTGTTATATCGAGGTATATTCTTTGTTTGCATTTCTGGATTGTGCTCGTTATAATGAGGATTTTGTTAAATCAAGGTTCAGTATATCGAGGTTCTGTTCAAATCCTTTGTTACGTCAAGGACTTCGTTATATAAAGGTTCGATAAATCGAGGTTACGCTGTAAAAGATCAAAGCATTTTCTCTTTAGTGATCATTTTACCAATTCTCAAAACCATTTCTATTGACAATGAAAAGATATTGTCAGGAGAAATTGATGTTGATCACTAATGGGACTTAGGAAAGTCTACTTTTAACTCACCTCTCTTAATTTCCTCTCTGCATCTCCAACAAAAGGTGAGTACAGCTGTGCACAGCTGAGGGCCATGAAGGTACACTGACAAGATGTTGCTGCTGCACGTACAAGTGTGGTTTTACAGCACCCTGGTGGGCCATACAGTAGAACACCTCTAGGGCGACTAAGACCCAGGCGTGCAAAGGATTCTGGATGCTTTAATGGCCATTCAATTGCCTGTAAATAGAAACATCAGTCACCCTGACTGCATAATACCTTGAGTTCATGAAATGCAAGACAAAGTTTGGGACTTTTCTACAAAGACACAAAAGAAAAGATGTCTTTTGCAAAGCATAAATGCATTTTGCAGGAATTATTAAAAGAAATTTACTTCTTGAAAGAATGCGCTGGAAAACCTTTTCACACCCCACTTAAAATATTATTCTATTTCTAGTACCTATACGTCTTTGTAACGGGTTTTACAAGGCCTTGTAAACAGAGGGGCTTACATCTGAAGACACTTGTAACTAGAATAGGAAAAGCGCTTCAAAACAATCTAGATGTACAAACATGTATAGTAGAACATTTACTGGCTTTTAATTAAGCTTTAGAACTCAATAACAATCAAATTCATTTCAAAACAAGGCAGAGGGGGCTTATATCCCAGGTGGCTTATAATCTGACGTATTACTGTTTTACAGGTGGATATTGGGCCCATAACTGGGGGGCTTATAAGTGGGGGAGCCTATAAGCTGCAGTTTACGGTATTATCTTGCATCTGAGAACGTTTCACCTGTTTGAGGGCTAGTTTAACATCTTGCAGCCCACCAATGTCATCCCAGTTAACAGGGCGCAACTCAACCATTCCCTCCAAGCCACGATATGTAGAAGGAACAATATGGCACAGGGCTAGCTGAAAATCAGCCATGGTTACCTCAGCTCTGTCTTCTAACAAGAAAGGAGGAGTCACTCTCAGTAGATTTCTATAAAATCATGACCTTTTTTAACCTCCCCGCAGACGTCCTTTAATTTGGGGGTTCGTTTGTCACGCATTCATTTCTCCCCCATGGACAGTGGGGGAGAAACGAATGCGTGACAAACGAACCCCAAAGGACGTCTGCGGGGAGGCTAGATCTTTTTCAGACTGTTCTGTATAAATTTATTGCTAACAGCAGGGTGAGATGAAATTAAAAAAAGATCGCTGATGCTGAATTTTTTTAGCCTGGAGCAGTATGACAAGCAGCTGGCCTACCTGAAATCCCCTTTCTCAATAACATTTCCTTTTCTCAGCGAATGTTGGTTGAACACCAGGCATTTTTTAGTAACAATATGCTGGTCAGCTGACAGGACACTCCAATCCCAGGGGGGTACCACAGATTTCAAGTGATGGAGATGATCAAAGTTTTTGGGGGGGTTTGATATTTTCCATTTAGGGTTTTTTTTTTTGGAAGAAAAATTTGGCAAGTATTTTTTTGGAGATGGCTTGATTTAAGAAGAGATTTTTTTGGGTATTCAAAACAATCTGAAGATTCATGGTAGTGAAATGTTTAACGCTTTAAAATCTGACATGGGATTTGTGGGAGGTTAATTTTTGGTCCAGGGATTTGTGGGGTTTTGTTGGAAGCCCTACGGAAGTTTTTGGGTTTTGATTTTTGTCCTTTCGATCATCCCCGTCACTTGAAATCCGGAGTGCCCCCTTAACTTGGGGCTCCAGTAGCCCCAGGCTATCAGACATCAGTAAAATCCAACTAGTGGTCTATTATCAATGCTGCGTTTTGATTGGTTGAGCGACTACTAGGCTATATGTTATAGCCCACTAGTAGCGAAAAGCGCTGGCTTTGAAAACCAAAACAAGGGCAGCTGAATCGTATTTGGCTAGCTAAAGTTGTTTAGTCTTGATACTTTTGACCAACCAGTTGGATTTTACTAAAACAATAAATTATTTCCTCTCGCCCTCATGGCCTCTGAGTCAATAGCCCATTTGGTCTTCAGCCTCATGGGCTATGGAATAACTGTTAAGTAGTTTAATCAGGCCCTGCACAGGCAATATTTATGCCTTAAACTTCCTAATGGCCAAACACCAGCAGGATAGGCCATTGACCATGAAAAGACTAACAATGGCTTAATCAATTAAGTAATGATACCGGTAAGACAGGAAGCAGTTAAGCAATGGCGATGGCGACGTCAACGAGAAATTATGTCAAAAAAGCATTAGGTTGAGATTGGCAAAACAACAACTTTGCATGTGCAACACACAGCAACAACACAGACAAACTTTAAGAAATGGACAGGATGGACAGGGCAGTTTTCAAAAATCCCAATACATGTATACAGCTAAATCAAAAAAGGTTGCTTTGGTAAATAGTCATTGGTAATTGGAAACTGGGCATTTGGGCATATGGAACAATGCAATGATTTACTTGAGTGAATATTGATTTATTAATGATTTACTTATTCTGTGTGGCAAAATAATAAAAATAAAAAATTAAATTAAATTAAATTAAAAATATATTATATGCCTTCATTGTTACAATTTATTATTTCAAAGTTTACTCAGTTTGGCTCGGGGTCTATCTGCACTAGCAAATTTTCGGTCACCATCAACGCTTGAAAAATGCAGATGGTTTGTCGCAAATTTTCAAACTTTGTCTGGGACAGGACAACCCTCAAAGGCACCGGGCATAAAATTTGCCCCTGGTAAAAACTGGACAAAATCAAGGAAATAAATTAACAAGTGTTTTACTTGTCAATAATTTGTTGTTGAGCCATTTCATTATTCTTGCCATTACAAAATGCAAGAGTTTGTCACATGTAACAGCCTAGCCTGCTGGCAGGCTCACTTGTTTGAGTTTGGGGAAAATTTTTGGCAGCAGAGCTACTACATTGAGAAATTTCTGCAATTTGATTGGCTTAGAGCAGTGGTATTTCAGCTTAATTTAAAAATACATGTGAAAATTACAAATCTTTGGTGGGTAGTAGTATAAACAAATAATAACACAATTTGTATGTGATATTTGGCATAAATACCACTTGTGATATTTCATAATTGTGTCAAATTTCACTCGCCTAACAGCTCGTGAAATTATGTATAACAATTTCAAAATATCACTCGTGGCATTTATGCCAAATATCACTTCAAATCATGCTATTACCTATACAAACAATTTTCTAGTTACCTTCCACATTTGCCCATTCACTTGAAATGTCCAGCCCTTTGTTGTAACTGCAACCTAAAGTCCTTTTTAGAGAAATAAATGCTGCTTCCCTGCACAAAGAAGCTATATCAGCACCCACATATCCAATAGTCAGTTCGGCAATGTGAGCCAGATCGACTCCTTGAGCTATCTTCAGGGAAGCAGTGTGTGCTTCTAAAATGGAAAGCCTCTGGAGAGCATTTGGAACTCCAATAATAACCTATAAATTATTAACATTCAAAAAATCAGAAAACAGTCAGAACAACAAGTTTTGCATGACAAACAAAGAGCTCCAAAGGATAGCATTGCCTGACAGTTTTCATTTAAAATTTCATGAAATTTCAGACACGTTTCGTGTGAGACAGTGGTTTGAATGGAACATGAAGGAAAAATGAATGGAATTCTTATAGTTAAGAATTTTTTTATTATTATAATAAATGATTGATTGGTCGGGTCATTTAAATTATTTACTTTAAGACAATCAATTCTAAAATTTCAGCCAATTCTCAACACTAGTACTGTTAAGCTAAATAACTTCTTTATTCTGACCTCTCTATCAAGCCTGCCAGGTCTCCTAAGAGCAGGATCAATAGCATTTGGTCGATTTGTTGCTCCTATAATGACAAGCTGACCTCTGGATTCCAAACCATCAAGGAGAGTCAGAAGCTGTGCAACAATTCTGTTTTCTTGCTCATCAACACTGCTTCCTCTCTTAGGACACAGAGCATCAAGTTCATCGATAAATAAGACACATGGACCACGTTGTGAAGCATTCCTAAAGAAAAGGAAACGTTCCAGGAATCTCAAATACATTGAATGCTTTAAGTCCCAAGATCCACATACAAATTCTCCAGACTTATTTTCATACATTTCTTTTAAGAATAGTTGGGAGAATTTGGTTTAAGATCAAAGTATTCTCTCTTTGGTAATCAATTAAGTAATTCTCATAACCTTTACTCTTGATGATATGCTAATGTTGTTAGGAGAAAATTGAAGGTGGTAACTCTTGGGGACCTAAAGGGTTAACACTTTTCATCTAACAAGAATCTAGCCACAGAAAATGGCTGACATTTCATGACGCCACCACTGGTTTCCTATGAAATGACGTCAGCGGAACAAGTGCAAAAATCCCACGCTGATGATGTGTCATATCAAGGTAGTGCTCCTGATTGAAAGAAGCTAATCTTTAACCAATCAGAGGCACTACCCATACCTAGACTCCTTCCTTAGCCTACAAAATTTTCCAAGGAATTAAGGCAGACTTCAAACAGTTTTCCTTTCTTTGTACTCTTATAGAACATAGAAATGGTATTAAAACTCAAGTGGAACCATGAGCTGAAGGTGGGTGGTAACCATAGTTAATTAAAGTGGAATGGCTGGGAAACCCTTTGTTATATGTTTTTGTTAGCTTTTTTGGACCTGACTGTGCACAACGTTCAATAGAATTCCTATCACTTTGAACTTACTGACCAATAGAAACATTGCACTAATTTATTCAGCCACATTTTGTGAACAAAAAACAAAGGATTGTGCACAGTCAGGGAGCTTCCAACAAAACCTACAGCACCATTGTTTTTAACTTTGATCTTTGCCGGCTTTCCAAACCAGTCTTCTCTACTAACTATGGTAGTAACATTGCAATGTGATAAGCCCTTGGTGTTCTGTACATTGTTGGCAGTTTACCTCACCTCGCAGTCTCAAACATTTTTCTCAAATTTTCTTCGCTCTCCCCAGGATGTGGCCCGAACACATCAGTTCCATTGAGTGTTATCAACTGTACATTACACTGCAATGTGACACTCTTGACAAGGAGTGTCTTTCCAACACCTGGAACCCCTTGAAGTAAAATTCCCTTAGGGCATTCAAGTCCTAATTGGGCAAACGCTCCAGGGTATAAAAAGGGATAACTTAAAAGCTCTTGAAGTTCTCTTGCGACATCATCCAGGCCAGCCAAAATTTGATTATTGTCATCTTCAAGGATTTGGCCTGATCTAACCGACTTAACATTAATCTCTGTTTTATCAGTTACTTTAATTGGTTGATCTTCCAAAGACTGGGTTGACGGTTTTGTAGATACAATCAAAATCTTAGCAATTCTTTTGGGTCTTTGACCGTTTCGACATTCCTTTGGTTGAACAACACAGCCATGCATTATTACGCAGCCTCTTAAAATACTCCGGACCATTCTTTCCTCCTTCAATTCTCTGGCACTCTGATTCAGACCGTGAAAACATTCATTAGAACTGGAGCTTGACAAAAACAAAGATACAACAATAGTTTCTGCATCAGCGGGCTTGGTTATGATAATGTCTTTAGAAGATATTTTCTTCGTACAAAAAATGCCCTTTTTTACGTTCGTTTTCTTGCTGTTTGGCAAGGTTACGAGCCCATCAATTTGAACGATCTTGTCTTGTCCATCACGTCTTGGCCACAGGGTACAGAAGACAAATCCAGAGTCTGTCGCTATTCGAACTGGAGTATTAATTATTCCGCCAATCTTTTCAATTATTTGTGGTGCAACCCGACACCTTGCAGTGTTAAAATCTTTGGCTTCACAAGGAACATGATTTAGCTCAAAGTCAGACATTCGGTCCGCCATTTTATTTTGTTTGACCACGTGCTCAAGTTTTTCTGTAGGGTAGAGAGAGTTAAAATTTTGCACTATCAGAATACTTCTTGAATAAAATTAGCATTCACTTATCTTCTTTTAAATACCGTTTTCCGTTTTAAAAAACTTTCGAAAAAAATTCGAAAAAGGCAAAAAAACAAAAACAAAAACAGAAAAACTCACCATTTGTCGATGATTTCTTTCCCCTCCCTGGGAAAAAGAACTACCAAATAAAAGCTACATTTTATGCACCATATATGAAATATCTACACAAATTGAGGATCGCTGGCTCAGGAAAAAATAAAATGGCGGCTATCGGTTGTGTTTTTCGTGGCTTATTGAAAAATTCTGTAAAAACAGCGAACGTTTGTCTAAGATCAGCACCTAAACCCGCAGTTCTGTTTTCCAGTAATACAGGTAAGATTCTGATAGGTCGAAATGGTACATAACACGGGAAAAGTGTATTTTCTGTGGGTTTTCTTTTTCAGTAATGAACGTGCCTTCTTTCATCCCATCAATCCCTAGCGCACAAAAATACTTAGCAAGCACAAGTTACTTAAAATCGATTCTGAAGATAATATTGAACAACCTTAATCAGTGTACAAAGATTGTGAATGACAACTTGATAAAGAGGGGATCAACATGAGTGCAAATCAGCCGCTTTGTCCACTTATACTCAGTAGGAGTACGTTTAATTTTAATTGATTTTTATTGTTTGAAATCAACTTCAATTTCAACTTTATTTTCTACACTGTTTACAGGGAATTTCTTGGTACTTACTATTGTCTTAAAACGTATTCTCAAGCATTTATCAACCAATAACCGGACAAATTTTTTCCAATTTTTTTTCTTACTTGGCAGGAGGTGCTAGTGAACAGGAACTTTGCAAAGGTATAAATTACTTAAAAGAAGGATCTGATCCCCCTTTGCTGCCTGACAGTGAATACCCAGAATGGCTGTGGAACATTCTTGATGATGATAAAAAACTATCTGTTGGTGACCAATCATTTGACATTAACAATATAACTCACAGAAGAAGACAAAGAAAGGCACAAAGAAGGCAGGAAAATGCTATGAGAAAGCAAAACAAGTGATATACATGTACAGTACGTCTATAAGAAGATAAATACCATTCCATGTGAACATTGCCAAGTTGTGGCTATGTGCCATAAAAACATTAGTCTGGTCTATGAAGACATTGAAAAGCACTAGATAAGTAAAGATAAAGCACTTTGAACTCCCAGGGCAATTATCATGGATGTTGATGTTTGACATGACAGCTAACGATCAACCTAGTGAAACTCTCTATCTTTATGCCAGACTTAAGCAGTTATGTCCAACAGAAGGTTGAAAGCATCTTGCCCCTGAGTATCGAGTACGGTTAACTTGGTACCAAGTTCTCTCTTGCCTTGTCCCAGATGACAGAATTTTCAAAATCCCGGCATGGAGAACGTTGTCTTTCACTAACTTGTACTTTTTTTTATTACTCTCTCAAAACTATTGAAATGTGGGTCATGAAAGTAGACGTACTGATTCACTCCTGTGTGTGAACGAGCCACTTTTATTTTAAGATTAACCACTAACAGAGTTTTACACACTTAAGTTTATTTGCACTTGATGATACGACATCAAATCTAGGCGTCCAAAAGGTGTTGTCGTAGCGGTAGGCAACTGAAAAATTAAATTAATATTACAAAACATTACTATGGAAATCAATTTTGGTTGATGCAAAGACTGGCAAATATCACCTTACAATTTGTGTTCCACAGTACAGCTATAGCTAGTAAGCTTCGTATCTTTGATGCTGATTTATCGGTGACTCTTTGGAAGTGTAGGTTGCATAATGAATATTTTGCTTTTAAATAACCTGACACCTGGCCTATTTTTCCCGCATCTAGCATTTAATAAGTCAAAGCTTTCGGTGCTAAGGTTATTGAATATTCACAAAACTAAACAAATGGCATGAAAATGCAAATCACACACCAAACACAAACCATCTTTCCCAGCTCGGCACTTATTTCAATTTAGTAGTAAGCAAGGAGTTCCCTATTCAAATGCCATGAAAAAAGTAGAAATTAGGGACTTTGACTTCAAATATACCTCAACCTTCCTTTACATCTTTTAGTTGAGTCTTTGTAAGACAGAGAACTCTCTAACAGGGGCACATCACACCAGTCTCAGAGGTGCCCGTCTTGGCAAGAGTTGACTATCTAAGCCTTTGCAGGGGGCCAGGGGTGTAGCGAGGAATTTTCCAGTTCCATTCATTTTTTTTTCATTCAAAATTCGGTCCACCAATAAATCACATTGCTTCTCTGGAAACCCACATTTGGTAGTAAAAAAGAAAGTCCAATGTTTCAGAGAAAAAAAATGTATATATTATAAAGAAGAGCAGAGATGATGAATGAATAATTTAAGAAAGATGTGCTTTCTAAAAATGTTTGCTTTTTTATTATTGGCCTTTCTACTTTATTTTTTTCTTCGTTAGACACTGTCAGAGTAGTTCTACCTTTCAAGAACCAAACTGCAGCTAATATAGAGACAATGTGAAACGTTTGTGCCCAATTCCTTGTGTAGATGGTAGTTTGGTTGGCAAGTGCACCAATGAGCAGCAAAGCCATGAGAGGAATGGGGCTTTCCTGCTTATTTTGCTACTTTCCTAAACAAAACCACCAGCTATGCAAGCTAGGTGCTGAGTGGTAGTTCTGCTCATTTTTGCATCCTTAATTTCTCCTTCAAAAATGATTTTGTTTGAGAAGAAATATCAAACATTCGACACAGTGTTTCATCATCAGATGAAACACCTCGAAGTTCGTCAAAAATACTCCGCTGCGCGTCGTATTTTCAACTCTCTTCTCAGTGTTTCATCTGGTGATGAAACACTGCATCTCATGTTTGATATATTACTTGAAAATCTGAGTTTTGTCTGCATACTTTCATGTCCCTCAAGGAAACCAACTATGATAGATGTTTCATAGGCAAGATTCAAAACAGCCACTACAGTGAAACCACAATGATATAAGGAAAGGCTAAGAGACTGGCAAAATATGTTCGCTATTACGGCGTTATGTCAAGATTATTTTCCATAATTATTGTAATATTTTACTATCACTGGGGTGAAGAATATCATTTGTTAAAGCAAGGTCTTTTACAGGGTTTGTTAAATCTAAGTTCCACTGTAGTTTTCTTTTAACTTTCAAATAAGCTATCTCAGCCAAAGAAGTGTAGACAGTTTACAAATGCATATTGCCAGTTTCTGTCAAGAAAATACAAAGGCTGAGAAAAATTCGTAAGAAATTATAACAAGACCAAAACGAAAATACACTGTACATAGAAATCAAAAGCTTGTGGAAATGGAAAAATTTTGGTTTTTCAAATTTCATTCTTGGCTTTGAGGATTGGTGCATTAAAACAAAATCACCTTGAAATTCAATGATGAATATTACATTTCTTTTGTTTCATTACCAAAAACCTTGAATCCAAGTATGAATTTTCAGCGGCGGATCCAGTGGGAGAATCCTGGGGGGTCCGCGACCCCCTTATTTTTAGCCTAAACTGGGCCCCGAAGTGCTCAAAAAGGTTTTTGTTCAGGGAGACCTCCCCTGCCTTATCTCAAGGTCTGGATGGATGGGGGCCCCCCTTATTTGAATGTCTGGATATGCCAATGATTCTGATAATAATTACATTAAAATTGGTCTATTGTTTAAGACACTTGGAAAGAAAACAAACAAACAAAAACAACACCAAATTGGACCATGAGAATAAAGGAATGTTTGAAAGTAAGATAAAGAGTTTTTGAGAGCTCAATAATGAAAGGGGACACTGCCAGGTAAACACATAGAGGACAGCAGCAAATCTGTCAATATTCAAATTTTAATGTTTTTGCAAATGTTTACTTTTTAACAAAAGAAGTTGAGAGAAATGTATGCACACTAATATTCTAGTTGTCATGAGGACAATTCATACCATCCATGTAAATTTAAAACGTATTTACACTAAAAAATGATTCACTCTGACTTAACTATCAGTACTGACTTTTGGGAATGACCAAGGGTTTTTGCACAAACACACATTATCTGGATTCAATGCATTCAACAGCATTGTTTGCCTGAATGAATCCACTTCACAGTTCTTACCAATATGCTGACAGAAAAGAAAGCCATGTTTTAAAACACTTTGTGTAAAATGAGTTTGAGCATTAAAGTAATCTCCCATGGTAGAGTAAGGGAAAGCATCAGCGCTTGAAAAAGCTCCTGTCCAGTAGCCCGAGACACAATGTTTTTCTTGCTGGGCAAGTAATCTTTTAAGGCCCGGTTCAGAAGCCGCTCCACTCGTGCCGAACCTAACTGATGAATTAAGTATGGCAAAAAAACGGCGTATGAATCAGTTTGGTACGACAGTTTTAGTTTGGTGTGGAAAAAGTGTTAAGTACGACAGAGTCTGTCAAACTTTTGTCAAACTTAACTTAGGCTTGACACATGGCACGCCTTCTGAATCAGATTTTAAGCCAGTATCGCTCCAAGGTCAAGCTTATACAGTTACTTTCGGCACATGAAAAGCACAGCATCTAAACCAGGCCTAACAAAATCATTAACTAAAACAAGCAAGAAAATGGTAAGAGCTGCTTGGCCAAAGGACAAGCTGGAATTCAAGTTTTTTTTTCTAGCCCTATGCATGAAATCTCTGATGAGAAAAGGTGATGTGTGGAGGAAAAGAGGGACAATAAAAAATCTTTCCCCCCACACACCACCTCTCCCTATGCTTTTTTTCGTCTCTAGAAAAGGGGGTCAAATATGGGACTTCTTGCAGTTTCTCTTTCCAACAAAAGGTCATTAAAATGTCTTCACTGTTGCTGGGATAATTTATCAGATTTCAATGTACAAGAATTGTGTTGATATTTCTCTGTTCCTCCAAAAGAGATGAACTGTAAAGGCTTGAAAACAGTTCTTTTCACACCGAATATGACCAGGCACTGAATCTCAACAACTTGAAGACCTTCTGTTCTTTGCCACCACAAACTGTGGAGCTTAGTGACAAAACTTCCATCCGAATCACATCCGCACAAATCTGCACTTCACAGAACATGATGGCATTTTATTCAACGACTTCCACCAGAAGATCCACAAAACAAAATCACATCACATCAACACAGCCTCTGTCTCATCCTCGTGGCACAGAATCCTGGCATGTGCTGCTTTTTCTCTTCATTTCACATGTAAGTGGCTCATTTATCCTACACAAACTGCACTTCAGAATATCACCTCATAGAGGGTAGCTTTCTTATCACCAGATCCTGTCACAATGTACTTGTCATCTGCTGAAATGTCGCAGCTCAACACTGACGAAGACTCCTTGGACTGCAAAAAAAGGATGCAATTATTGGGATATTTGATATATATTAATCATGCAACCAGAAACTTATAAGGGACTGAAACAACTTACAAGAAGGAGATTTACTCAATACGAAGTATTGCTCGCGCATGAACCAGCGTCATTTTGTCGGGAAAACGTGATAGCCGTCGTCATTCTACTATGAGTTTGAGGGGGAATGTTGTAGTGGTGGAAACAAGTTATCAAATGTTAGAAGTTTTATCATTTTGCGATAGGCAGATGCTAACTTTCTAGGTGAAAAAAAAGTACAATGAAGCAATCAGGGGTGTTTTATTTTTACACTATGCAAAAAAACTTTAAGTAAAATCTTGTACTCGTAGTCGCTATTGTCCTCAAATCTAAAGCTCTCTAATATTGCAGGTGACCAAAGAGGCCGCTGTAGTTACACATGCGCGGTACGTACAAAGTAATCTATGTAGCCCGCATTCATTTGAACTTCCACTAAAAATGAATGGAATGCATAGAACGCAATCTGATCACAAACATTTGGAAGTTCTATCACTAGTAATCTGATCACTCATGTTTTGAACCTTCTTTAACGACAAGTAGTGGGTTGGAAGAGAGCATCTGCATCATCAACCCCCCCCCCCCCCCCCCCCCCCCCCCCCCCCCCCCCCCCCCCCCCCCCCCCCACACTCCAATATACAAACTCTTAGCACTTCTCTTTTTTTAACCTTTCTTTTTATTTTTGTTTTTTTTTTTCTTTTTCTCAATCTTGTTTTTTCTAATACATATACAACAAATGAATAACTATGAAAAAAAACTCTATAGCGCCGTGAATGGTAAGTATACACCAAAAATAAATGAAGAACACAAAAAGCAAACACAGAACAAAATATGGTGAGTATATTAAACGAATGGTTGAGCAACATGTGTTGGTACCCTTTTTACCAGAAACTGGGTGGGTGGAAAGGGGAGCCTGACTACTAAACCCCCCCCCCCCCCCCCCCACCTCTCTCTATACCTGTTATTACTGCTATAAAAAGTTAGAGAGTAAATTCAGTGTACATCTAACTTTTGACTTATTTTGACTTTTACAAGACTAAGTTTAGTTAACTTCATCAAGAAAATACTTTTCAGAGGAAGGAGAGGAATGAATACCTTTAAGGGAGGGAGATACGTGAAAAACTGTTGTCTCAGAGAAAGCACTAACCTGAAATATGCTTGCACCGTAAGGGGTTCTCCACGCATTCAACAAGTTGTCTTTACCCGTTGTTATAAACCATTTTCCAGAGTAAGCGAACTTTAATGACAATACACAACTTTCGTGTAAGTGTAGCTGATATTTGTCTGGTTTTGTTTGGTGGAGAACTTCCACATTGCTGTTTTCCATTCTAATAAAAGATAAACATTTGCGTTTAGAAAAATTTTTCAAAATCTTACAGCTGTAACTTAAAAAAGTGTTGAAAGAGTCACCTTACATGTAGGTTAAAATTAAATCTGCTGAACAGCAAGGAAAGTACTCAAAATGATAATAATAACATCAGTGCCCCAAACTAATTTTTTTTTTCAGCGTTACCATTTGGTGGCCAGGTCAAAAAATTGGAAGCCAGAGAAAAAAGATGAACACTCTGCAATTTTACATGATGCATTTAATGTACAATTGAAATTAATGCCGCCAAACTATAGCAATTGAGCAACATCATGCATGGATACATGGACATGCAAGGTAAAGGAGGCAAATTATAAGGATAAGAGGAAATAAATAACACTTTTTATTCAACAAACATTTACCTCACTTTAAATTAGATCAGACTTAATTAAGTTAGGGCTCAGGGACATTACCCGACACAGGATCAACACTCAGCCCATGTACTACTTTCGTCACAAGGACAACACTCAAAAACAGAAATCACAAAAATGGAAATGTCAGTAGCTCACCCCACAGCAAGCCAATCCCCAGAGGGACAATACCCCAAGGAGAAGATCTGTGATGTAAAATCATGTTGTTGGAGTTGTCTTCCTTCTCTAAGATCCCAAGATCTAACTGTGTTATCTAATCCTCCTAGAAAGTAAGGAAAAATGCAAGGTTAATTAATTTTCATGCTTTTACCGTGACAATACTGTATTCCAGGCTGGAGGGCTGTTACTAAATGGGATGGAGAAATCTGAGGAAAGGGGATTTCCCAGCTATTGTCATAGGAAACAAAAGAATGGAACCAAAAGAATTTCCGAGCTCGTTAATTCCCCGCTTACTAAATACACATACTCAGAAACTTGAAATCTTCGTGATAGGCCCGTAATCTGTGGTACATCCACAAAAAGCAGATCCAAATCAAATGTCGTCCACAAGGTGAAACTCAACTGATGTACAGTGAACCCATCCAAAGTGTGACGGCTTCTCATAAGTGACCGCCTTTCAAAAATACCAAATAATTCCCAGTCAATGCACAGCAGTTGAACCTCTTGTCAGAGACCACCAAGTCTATATAATTTAGGTGGCGCAAGTTATTATAAGCCATCCTGTTGTCTTTGCCTTTTATCAAGGGGGTTACAACACTGTTTCACTTCAGGGGTGTTATACCTTCGATTTGATGTGCAAAACAATACACTGTCATTAGCACCTTTGATTACCGTTACTATGCTTTGCTACCTGCTGCAGTCTAACTTTGATGCCTTTGATCCAAGTCAGGGGTGATTAGAGCAAACTGCACCCTCTTCGTAAAGACCAGAAAAGTTACATGACAGATGCTGTTTTTTGTACATGTAGTCCTTACCTGTCCATAATTTTGTACCATCTGGTGAAATGTCAATACAACTAGCACCATCCGTATGACCTTGAAACTGTCTGACTAATGTTTGATTATGCAAATCCCACACAGCTATATTTCCATCACTACAACAACTGAAGCATACTTTAGAATCTGGACTAATTGCCAATGCATAACAGGCTGGTGCATTTGAAGTAAGTTCATTCTTTATTCTTGGTTGAGAGGATGCAAGATCCCATATTGTAAGAGTACTAGCTTCACCGCCGACAATGAGAGTTCTACCATCAGGCAGGAGACGACAAGATCGGATGTAGTTATCTCTCTAGGAAATGAAACAAAACAAAATAAAATTAGAGAAAAATCAAAAGGGGTATGGAAAAAAATAAAACAACAACTAATCAAGTTTTAAAACTACAGAATATCAAATTCAAAAATCACTTCCATAAACAGGAAAGCCACTTATCAAAGGTACCTGGTCTCTATCACAACTCACAACTTAGGGCTGTCAAAACGTTTTTATGTAGCAGGCTGATAATGAATAGTAGGCGGCTTTGGAACTCGCACCAAAGTGACAAGTTCTTGAGGGCCGAGGCATCTGGGGACATTTTGAATCTTATCAAAAATGGCATTTCCAGGGGTTTTCAAGGGGTATTTTCCACCGCCATGCAGTTTCATCAGAATACACACAAGAGTGGGAACAATTCCGTAAAAATGTCTCAGGTGTCCCTAGACATCGTTCAGTTCGAATGTTTCACAGATCTAAACCTGTTTAAATATGCATTCAATGTCATTCAAAACTGGGAAATGGACGTTTTACAATTTTATTTGAATGTGCTTAACTTTTTGTTAGCAGTTATGATAGAAGGAGATGAAAGTAGCTGGCTAAGGATGGCTAACTAGCCAGCGGTTTGCCTGGCTACCGGTCCTTACTGACAACCCTGCAACTAAGTGATGCTAAAATGTGTCTCTTCTATGAATTGCATAAACAGTGACTTACCAAACACTCTAAAGTTGAAATTGGATTTTTTCCACTACTTTGACCTATGTCCCACACCTTCACACAGCCCTGCAACCAACGGAAAACAAACAGTTTTACTCGTTTTTAATCTGAAATTTTGTCACCTTCAAGTCACATGTTGTAGAGTGGTAAAACCGTCAAGCTGAGACAAGCACCAGTATTGCAATATGTAGTTTTGACACTAGCCTTATCTGTATTAAAGAACATTTCAACTGTTGCCCTCTCTGCATCTATCTTCTGGATTCTTACCACTGTTACTGTCAAACTAAAAACACTGATGGTCCTTTTCCTCTGAACTAAAATAACAGTCCATGCAGATGAAATGTACATTCCACAGCACTCACGGTTTTCTCTGCTTGAGAGTTACTCCAAAGAGAAATTCTATCCTAGGGTTATCCAGCAATTGTGCATCACCTTAACCAAAATTAAATGCAAGGAAGACCATTGCAGTTGAAGACCCAGCTTATGCAGTTCAGGATTCATACAAAAAATTGCAACCATTTTTACGGACTTTTCAAGGACCACATACCACTAATGTAATTTCACAGATTGTACAAAACGCACATTCCCTGTCCATTCTAACAGGACTTTATAAGGCTTGAACTGTTCACTCTACCATCTCTACATTTTTTTTTTCAGTACACTACACTAGTTAATTATTGCATAAAACAAAAAACGCAAGTTTCGAGATGCGAGGATTGAGTCTCGAGACACGAGGATCGAGTCTCGAGTTTCGATGATCGAGGATCCAAGAAGCAAAGTTTTCTGAAAGAACCATCCTGTACAGTCATGTAGCCGCTCAGATATTAACATTGTTGATCAGTGCTTGCAGTGCGGAGTTCTGTAACTGTTTGAATTGCCAGGGTTCGGCAAGCTTTCAATAAGTTACATCAATATTTTCAATATTTCTTCATTCCACAGTTCAAAAAAATTGTAAAAAATAACAGTGCTGACCTTTCCTCCTGTGTATACATGTCTCGTTGGATGGCTGATCGTTACAGCGCATACAACTTCTCCATGATTTAGTTGGTTAATCTGTCGGGCATGGCGAGGTATATTGGAACCAAGGAGTGCATCTGGCGGAAACGGCACTGGTTGCATTTGACCATCCCCACTCACATAGAATGAGTATGCAGGCTTGCCGCCTGGGGGACCTGCTGGTATACTGGGACCTAATGGAGACATGCCTACTCTGGCTGCAGGGCTGCCATGCTCAAAGCCAACCTGAGATCAAAATAGTGAAAATAAATAAACAATAAACAAAAAACTGAAATTCATCAGACAAGAAAGAATACGTACCAAAGGAGACCGGCCATAACCAATCCCACCAGCTGACATGCTGGCTGCCATGACTGATGGGGAAAATGATGTTGGGCTTGCCAGGTCACTACAAAGCAACACAGATGAAATTAGCTTATTTTCCCCAAGGAACTTGGTGGGGAGGTTTGTGTGCCTTGATGATTCTCTAAGCTATACCAATAATGGGACCTGGTGCATTCAACTGTGTCGGGCAGGTTTCGCATGAAAGGCCAGGGGAATTGCATAACCTGGCCCTCCAGGTTGGGGGTTGGGCAATGGGTAAATGTCCCATCCTGAACAAAACTCTCATTACTGAAACCAGACATACATTTCAAAATAGCAGGATGACAGCGACGTGTGGAGGCCTTATGCGTAACAGAGCATGAAGAAGTGAGGTGAGGTAAAGTAAGGCAAGCCTCCCATGGAACACCTCAGCACTAGGTATTTTTCCAAGCAAAGAAAGATGAAGCTAACATCAAAGAAGAAAACGACTAACTACAAGAAAGTGATGGTCTTCCACCAGAAAAAAAAAGAGCTACCTGTAGGGGTTGCAAGTGTAAACTAGAACATCATGGGTCTTTGAAAATTCTCATCTGATCTTGATATCTCTAAAGCATTAATAATACGTTTTATGTGTTTCATTCTGTGTTGCACCAGGGTCTCGCCCTCTGAAAACCAAGTCAAAGATTTTTCCAATTGCCAACCCTGGCTGGAGCTCTTATGATTCTAGGACAAGTCAACTCACAACGTACTGATGACCAAAAACACTAACTGGGTGCCAAAAGCTTGAGAGGCTCAGAGAACATAGCAACAGCAAAACAGCAAGCTGCTACAAGCCTTCAGCCTTCAAAGAAGGTGCTATTATGAAAAGATATTTAACTTGTTGCTTTGTGTTTAATCCATAATTACCTGGCAATGTTGTGTGGATTTACAAATGGATACGGACCTCCTGGTACAGACATGGCTGTTCTAACTGCCGGGGCCGCTGTAAAATACACAAACAAGATGGTTGTCATTCTTTTTGTTCACTCAACCACACTGGTTGAAATAGTAGAGAGCTAATACAACCAGAGGGATGAAGGCAGCAACGAGTATACTTTTTTGACATCCACTGCACGACTACAACATGAAACTTCCTAAATCTTTTGTCATTTTTTGGGAGTGAAAACACAACAGCAAATTTTCCTTTCTCCTTTCTGAACCTAAATGCTGTCCTTCAGAATCCAACTCGACGAAAATTCATCTAAATTTGACAAATTAAGCAAGACTATAAATAAAGTGAAGCTTGAGTTAATGGAAATTCACTTTTTCACAAGCATTTTCACTGCTGTTTGTCATCTTGGCTGCTTAAGTTCAATGTAGTTCTGTATGAATGATACCTACCTACTGGTGTTTTTACGGACGGTGAGGATCTCGAGGGGCTCTTCCTCCCAGAAGAGCTGCTTTCTGATGATGGAAGAATGGGTTTGCTTTCTGACTGTAAAAAAAACACAGATCAACACATTAAAATTTGAGAAAATGTTTTAATTTATAGTCAGTGATACACGTGGCTCAGAAGAAAACACTCCAAACAGGAATCCAACCTATGAACTACACTGTACTGTTTACCTAAAAGTCACCTAAAATGACACCAAATCTTCCGAAAGCAATTAATTCAAAAACAACAAATATCAGAAGACTGATTTTGAGAAAGCAGCTGCCATTTGTGGGACTCAGAAAAAAAGGAGAAAAACAGTTCCTTGCTAACCAAATAAACAACTAAAATTAAGTTCCCCATCTTAATAAAAAATTTTTCTGGCTTCAGCAGGCCTCGTACAAACACTGCTAAAAATCTAAGTCAGAATACCCCTGACCTTCCCAAAATCCTAGGAAGAACAGTTTTTCCACTGAATTCTTTCTGTGTGATAGTGGTGGTAAGTGGAGGCTCATTTGGGGGGTTCCCACTTTCCAGTGTTGCCATGGATACCTCCCTCTGGCTTATGGGATTGTGACACCCCGCTAACCAGTTTTCAAGCTCACCCATTAATGAAGAGTTTAAACAATTTATGCATACCTTGGGATGTTTTGATGATGGTGTGGATGACGATGATGAGGCATTGTTGGGAGATCCAGAATCTTTTCGACTTTTCTTGTCATTTACAGGGGAATCAGGTCCATTCTCGACTCTGGGTGGTGAATTTGCATCCTGCAATCAATTAGCGAAACCAGTTTTAATTTCACAATCCCCTTCAAGATGCAAAAAACCTTTATTCAACGCTGTTTTTGATTTTGTTTTTTCGCCTAAATTGACTTTTGAATAATATTTACCAGTCTACAAGAACATCAAACTACACAAAAAAGTTGAAGAACATTCGAGTCAGTGCAATAAAACCCCACCCCACTAATGGCACACCCACCTCATTAGAAACATCCACTACAAGGTCGCCATCACTTTTCTCTGCATCACTTTCCTAAAGAACAAAAAAGCATTTGCTCCGTGGTTAGAAAAAATTCCTAAATTTTCACCCGAGATCTGGGCCCTAAAATTCAATGCGAGTTTTCATGGTTGGAAACAAAACTTACCCCCGAGTCTTTGTCATCTCTTTTCCTTTTAACGTTGCTTTTGGTTCCTAAAAAGTCAATTTCAGGGTGTTATGTCACTTACTAACAGTAGGATTTTCTTAATATCACCCTAGAAGTCTGTCAGTAGTTTTTTGCATATGTTAAAATGAAAATTTATATCCTTGAAGCCTAGTGAACCTTCACTAATTTACTTTACATCAGAAAATATATTTGAATCATCATGTTTTTGTTACAGAGAAAACTTACATGTATTCCCAGTTTGAAGTAGATTAGAGTAACTGTCATAAATAGCAAAAGTGAATTTCCTGTTCAATATTCATACATGAAAACTGAACTGTTTTATTAAGTATTTTGACAGCAGAAGTTATCAAAAGAGCATCAGGATTGTATAAAAAGGCAAAGTACTACCCTTCTTACACTTTAAATGAGGCTACATGTAATTCAGGCAAGGTTAAAACTGAAGTCAATGCAGCGGTTTCACCAATCTGAAGTGTGAAGCTCCAGGGAAAATTGAAGGGGCACTGCCCAGTGCTTTTGCTCAAATAGTTTTTCTACTTTTGCTTCATTTCAATTGATTTCAACTGAACTTATACTCACCATTCACATGTCTTTCCCTGTCACGATCTCGATCCCTCTCCCTCTCACGTTCTCTCTCTCGTTCACGCTCTCGTTCGCGGTCTCTATCGCGTTCTCTGTCTCTGTCTCTTTCCCTGTCCATGTGGCCATCATCACTACCATGTGACGAGAGGTCAGATGCTCTGTATTTTTCTCGAGACATTGGTCCAAGAGGTGACAACGAGTTCTAGGAAATAAAAATTCCAATTGACACTATAACACTGCTTCATGTTACATATAGAATAATAATATTTATTTTGTTACCCCTTAACATTTCCTTAATATAGAAGTAGTGGAAAGAAGTTGTTCAAATATCAATTATTAATTTCATCTTGTGCATATCATGTCCTTAATTCTTGTACCAATCAGTTTCATAAAACACTGATTAGGTGACTTTAAGTACAAAATACCCCAATAGAGATACGAAGAAGATATCACACATACTTCATCAAGGAGCACTAACCATAGCAATATTTTGGTGATTTCTGCAGGCATAGCATTAAAACTTGAAAATGTTGCCCCACTTGTTTATAAGACACACTCCATTAAATGGGGTTCTTTGCAATTGAAAATAATTAAACTAAAATACCCGGCTATAAGGCGCAAGCATGATTTGTGGTGATGATCGTCTTAACTACAACAACACGCTTTCCAACCACAAGAAATGATAAGATGATTTGTTTCGAATGCAAAATGAGTCATTGTGGCTACTACCAGCTTTACCAGATGTGCAAGTCATTGAAGACTGATAAAAAAAAGAACAAAACGAGCAGCTGAAGCAATTGAATATCATACAATTTTTTTTGGTAGCCAGAAAATACTCCGGTTATAAGACGCACCCAAAACATGCAACAGATTTAGAGGTATCACGCAAACTTTTGTCAAAAAAAATTCTGCGCCTTATAGCAGTACACTTAATTTAAGTGCCTGTCCCAGTGATGTCCATCTAGTTGACTGAATAAAATAAAATAACATAATAGACTTTCACATACCATGCCATCTGATAGTGACGTACAACATGAAAGAAAGAGAAAATATAGAGGGTTAGACTAATTTGACATTAACAAGGATAACTTTGAGTGTCAAGAAAAAGACACAATTCAAAGTTAACTCTTTGTTTTATAAAGTGTATATGACAAATAAAATGACGAAAGGCAACTTGCACTACTCACAATACTTTGAATATTAATCCAACCACTAAATAAATATTTCAAAAATTTAAGGTGGAAGTTACAGTGATTTTGTTACCGCTGCACCCTGTGTCACTGACGCATAAAAATCGCCTAAGATGCAAATTAATTTGTACTATGCGTCCCGTAGGATGCAAAGATCAAATTATCGATCTGAAGATGTTTTTGTTGAATATCCTGTTTGTGTGATTTCTGTGGCTGTTGTTGATGAGGCTGTTGTTAAACAATGCTTATTTCATTTTGTCTTTGTTGTGCTTTACAATGGAAGGAGTATATCTTTATTTCAGTAAACTGTAATACAGAGTTTTGAAGTTTGTCTTCAGATTAACTGTGTGGTTACAAAAGACCCAGGGACTTGTTGTTTTTTGAACTGGGACTCAATGGTTCTGGACTGGGACTCACTATTTTTCACAAGATGAGTCCCAGGACCCACCATAACTGTATTTATAACAAAATCACTGCAGATAAGACATTCCAACAACTTTGGGTAAATTTGAAGGGCTCTCACCATTATTATGAGTTCTAAAGTTGGCAGGAGGTGAAACAAAAGTAAGGAATTTGACATATTCTTAATGTAATGTTATTTTCTCTACTAGAGTGGCCACGGCTACACTCAAAATAAGTGTATGCAGAGGTCCTTATATTTCCCCAGTTCTTTTCTCTGCTGTGTCACCTTACTTGCAGCTTGTGATCCAATAAGCATTCAGATATTTTGTTTGCACAAACAATACTGAGGAAAATGACAGAATACTTATAACTAGTCCAACTCAAAATCCCCAGTTCACAGCCCTTTTTGACTAGCCCTGCTAATAAAACAATGTCTCAACAAGCTGAACATAAAAACTTCCATGCTTGTTCATACCTTTATCTTCCGGTTTCATCATTGGTAGATGTGGTGGCTGAACAGTAAGATTGGATAAGGCAAGAAGGCCAGAAGCTGCCCCGGGTGGGAGCTGAGGAGGTGTGGATCCTGGGTGCGGCAGTGGTATTGTGGGCGGGTGGGCATGTAGACCTTGGAGCCCTTGGAGCCCTTGCTGATGAAGCTGCTGTTGCTATTGATAAAAAAGGAAATTTAGCAAGGCAACTAGTCGATACCAACAACACCAAAGGCAAATGAGACTCCCTTTCGCAGAAATTCATTAAGCTAAAAAGGTCAAACCCTAGAGGATTTTGACATTTACGGGGCAGCCGATGAAATTCCCCCTTCCTGGGGAAATTCAAAAAAGGCGAACTACCCAAACTTTGACAGAACCTCAGGCAGTCAACACAATCAAGTATTTGGAAAAACAAGTGGTGACCAAACAGAAGAGATTTCAAACAATCATGAACATAAATGTATCTTAATCAGCTCAAGTACAGGACCAACCAGGGCCCCAGGAGCCTTAAGTATTTGAACACTTTTAGTACCACTTTTTAAAAAAATAAACTCTGGTTTAAAAAAATAAAACTTAAAAAATACCCTGTGAGTTTAGGTACACAGTTATGTCCATTTTAAGCTTCTATAGTTATGACAAGCTTTTTTCAATCAAGCTGTACTGAGAGACATGTAATATAAACCAGGCCAAATAGATTCCAGCTGGGTGACCTCATCAAAAAAATTATATTATTAAGGCAGCCAAGTTTTTTTTGGCCATCTGTCACTTTGTGAATAGGTAGTCATTAATTGTTTTTATTTTGGTGGTTATTCTGCCTCCCAAGGATATTCAAAGATGGCAGATTGACAAGATCCCTACACCATGGACTAAAGTGGATGTCAAAATCCCCTGATAGGGGACCACTCCCACTCTGCCCCAGAACTGAGGATAGACAAATGGGAGCTTTAGCAACGACAATGGCAATGGGAACAAGACTGACAAAAATGCAACAGGTTTAATTAGCAAAACAACAACTTTGCACATGCATCAAACTCTTTTGTACATTTCTTTGCCATCACTGAACGAATGCGAAGTGAAAATGCCTAATTTCACATTTTATGGAGGATGTAAACAAGCGACAGTGAATTTTTCTTTCTCCTCCTAAACTTGAGTGCCGTCCCCAAGAAATCAACTCTAGGGAAATTCACTTACACTTGACATTTTCAGCGAATTGGAATAAACGCAAATTAATTTTGTGTGATGTTTTCACTGGTGTACCCATCATCGATGCTTAAGCTCCCAAATGATAAGTTACCCAGGGAACTTGGAAGAAATCTCAGCTCCCCACAGCCCCCAAATCAAGGATGGGAAAGTGGCAAATTTTAGCCTTGACATGGCTTCATCCTTGATTTCACGGAGAAAAGGTTGGGATTCCATCTTATTCTGTAGAAGATTGTAGTTTAAAAAAGGGCTCGAAAAAAGTCCACTCCAGTAGTCTGCCAGCTGACAGCAGGGTGCAGTGTGTATTAATTGAACCTGTATTGGAGAACTGTAACCCTAACACCTGTGACGGGTGTCACTGATAAATGAAAGAACAGTGAAATTTGCATTTTGAAAAGAGTTTAGTAAAGCCTGTTTGCCATTAGCCACATTGTTACCGTTGTTACAAAAATGGAACAGTGGATGAATAAGTTATTGAGAACCTTGGCCCGTAGTGGGTGGGTTGGGGGGGGGGGGGGGGACTTTTAAGGGGGGGAAGGGGGTTTTTTTTTTGTTTGAAAAAACTTAATGCGTATCGGTTGGGTGGTGTGGGGGTATTTTTTTTTTTCTTTTTTGTTCTTTTTTATTATTATATAAACCCTTACTCATCGCCTTTTTTAAAAAAAAAAAAAAGATATGTTTTTATTGTTAAAAAAATTTTAAGAACTGTTTTTTTTCTATTACATTTTTGTATTCTTGTTAAAAAAAAAGGGAAGGGGGGAAAAAAAGTGGTTGGGGGGTCGGGGGGGGGGGGGGGGGGGGGGGGGGGGGGGGGGGTGAATTTTAAAGGGGAGATAGGGTGTTTCTTATTGTTTCAGAAACTACTTCAGGCTAGCTGATGAGCTGTGGTGAGGTTATTATTCAGTCTCTTCTCAGTCTTTTGTAATACGTGATCAAACCATCCTCTCACCGCTTTTAAAAAACAGCTGGGTGACATTTATGTCACATATGCTAAAGAGAGAAAAATAGCAATCAAGGCTGTGCTCTTTGAGAGATTAAAAAAAGGGTCAAATTCTTACCCCTATTATAGCATTTAATTCGGTCATGGTGACCTGTTTAGCTCTCTCCACAGCTGCTGCAACTTGCTGTTGATGCTTAAAATAGAATCAAACAAAACATGTTAACTGAAAATGACCCTAAAAAATAACAATGCCTAAGTAAAACTCATCAACAAAGAAAATGGAAACAGAAGCTTACACATTTTAAGATTCCTAAATTTATCTGATGAAACTATAATTAGATATGATTAAAAACTAATTTCAAGCCACCACCAAGAAGTTCGATATCAGGTACAGGTGAATTATATGTAGCATAAAAAAATGTAATTTATTTGAGTAATGAAAATACTATTATTGAGGACACTATTTTTGTCTCCCCTGGTATTTTACGTGGTCATCCGATTCCCGCCAAGGACTAGCCATTTGCAGGGCAAAGGAAGTACCATCATTACTCAGTTATTTTAAGACCCTGAATATTGGTCTGGCCCCGGACGAACCCACAACCTCCCACTCCCCAGTCAAGTGCTCTACTGACTGGGCTCATCCTACCGCCGAATGTACAATCAATCAATGATCAATAAACAATCTTCTTAACTTAAAATTTGAAGACATCCTTGGGTACACTGATAACAAGGATCATGAAATTGATGATCATGATGCTTTGATCAGTTAAACCCTTCAATGTGCAGATAGTTAAATAGAAATATTGGGGAATAAAATTTTACTAAACTGCACAGAGACAATGGAGGTACAAGCTTTTGGTTACTAATTACCAATGAGCAGCTGCAAGGTAGCAGCCTTATAAAGCCGTGTGCGAAAGTTCCAAGGCATAATGAATCTCGCAGCGATGTAACATAAGTTAGTGTAAGGTAACTTTTATGACCTAATGCAGAACAGAGAATACACTGTTTTTCGAGCGAACACGTAATACAGAACAGAAAATCCAAGAGCCATGTGTGTGTTTGTGAGTACAGTGCTCAACCCATCCTCAACCAATTGTCGGCTTGATTCATTTACAACATACGTGTACAGCTGTTGCACTTGCCTGCTGGATTTTTATATTGTTATGATAATTCATGACATTTCTAAACAAATTAAACAGCGTGCACATATTGGTAAAGTCTTCGCTTGTTGGCACTTTAAGATAGCTATAAAACGTACATTAAAAGAGACTTATTTCATACTCACATCTTGTGAAAGGAAGGGAATGATTTGAGCACATATAGCATTCAATCTTTTTGCAATCTCAGTCTACAAGACAACAACAAAATATCTACTTTAACACAGCTAGGACAAAGCAATACAATGGAAGCTCTCGTGAGTAGACACCCTCGGGACGTGAAAAACATGTCCATAACTAGAGCTGGCCACTTACGGGAATGTAAAAATACAGAGCTTGTATGGGAGTAGAAAAAAATGGGGTTTTGTGAAGGAGGCCATGAGTATAGCTCTCGGACTACGAGAGTGACTGTTAGGAGAGCTTCCCCTGTATATCACTAGTAGTCATTTCTTGTTAAATCCAAACATTCATTTTTAAACATTATTGTTGAAGTAGAAGAAGAAATAGCAAATATGGCCAGGGATTTGATTTTTTCTTGTGTTTATCTTGCTTCAAACAAAGTAGCCTAGGAAAAATTCTAATGGCCAGGTAAACCCTGAAATCCTGACAGACTAAACATTACTTTAAAAAATATATATATATAAACATGTCTGTGCTCACAAAAATAAGTAGTGGCCCTAGGTTTACCAAACAACAAAACTTTATTATTTATTTCCTGTAATTCCTAGTTTGCCCAGCTGATGCAACTGAGTGTGCTTTGCTTGTTTAATTTAGATTTGTTTTCTATATAATTTTACCCTTGATAAATCGAACTCCCCATAACTCGAACTTTTTTCTATTTCCCTTGGAAGGTTGAGTTATCAGGAGTCGAATGTACTTGACATTTCAGGTGTGAAAACTTGAGATAACTTGTGGCACTATCATGCCTGGCTGGGAATAGTTTTACAAAAGATTAAGAACTGCACCTTCAGTCAATGGGTTTTTGTCCAATTACAGATGAAAAATACCCCTGAAAATCTTATGGGAAGGGAAAACAATTTAAACAGCAAACAGATGTTATAATAATTGTCTTTGGTTGCTGTTTCTGTATATTATTTGGTTATTTGTCCAGACGTACACAGCATTTTAAATGGTAATCATTTTGACACACTAGCATAGCCTTAAGATGAAACAAAACCACTTTAAGAGTGTTGCCATGACGTGAGGGCATCTGTTACACTAATATGATATCAAAAAGCACTGACGGTACCCTTTTGTGGGTGTTTTAAGTAGTTCGCAGAATGGGGTCGTCCATTAGATATAGACCTCTGTGCAGGAAACATGTCAAATTTTGTCACCTGATTTTCCTGACCAGTTGGTAAGAGTTTGTATGTTTGTATTTGTATTATATAAATTTTAATTAACCAAAAGAGGCTATCCAGCAGAGTGCTTGACAGTCCCTCTACATGAGGCAGTAACCAGAAGGAAAAATTAAAATGTCCTTAACATACAGTAAATGGAATAAATATCAAATTGTATGCTTTATTGGCTTACATTTTAAACAATACCACTTCCTTGTCGCATCAATTTGCAAAGGAAAGTACTCCCAAAAGGGAAATTTGCTTAGTCCAGTAAACTTAACAACAGGAAATAAGCTTAACCGTACAGTTTCCCCTTACGGTTGCATTGGGAATACTTTTGTGTGGGTATATAAGTGGCAAAGAAAAGAAGTAACTTATTCTAAATAAAAAGCTGACCTTTGAGGTTGAATGAACAATTTGTGGGAAATATGGACATGCATGAAATTTAAATACTTCACTGAGACAACCTTTCAATTCCATAAAATAATACTAACATAAAACCATGTAGCACCTTTTAGAGAGTTAATATATAGAAACCCCTTCTGAGAAATATTCCTATATCTAATGCCACAGTAAGAAGCACACCATTGAAAAAAGATCACGTTCTTGTGAC